TATTTTCTTCTTTGCAATAATAGATCTATAGTAAAATTCAAGTAGGCTAATATAGATGTATACTACAGTAGGCTATAGTTTAGACTGTAGAAAGATCACTTCATTTAACATGTAGGCCTATTTATGAGAGGGCTAAACATATTATAGTCTGTGTAAATATTGGAATATTTATTGACTAAATTCTTATGAAAAATTGTTTTTATTTATTGTAAACATAACTTGTTGAAGTTTTTTTTTATTATTTTAGACAAATTATATTAAATATGGATAGTATGTGTACACGAAGTGCAACTAAACATCCATTGTTTGGGCAGTTAGTTGATCTTCCTGAAAATCAAATCCCATCATATGAAGACGTTATTAAGGCGTTCTATTATAATCAGAAAACAGTATTAGAAATTAGCTTGCAAGAAAGATATTCAATTTTAGCAGACAGAGTAAAATGTGTTTATTCAAAAGCAAGTATTTCCACAATAAAAGTGAATAGCACAATCATTAGGATTAGAAGACTTATGGATAAAGTACATACACTCGAAAAATATTCTAATGCAAAAAGAACATCAGACACGTTCACTGAGAAGTTTAATTCTTTTAAGCAGTTATTTGACATTTGTACCTGCAAATGCTTTGATTTGGGCATTAGAGATAGGAACTTATGCACGTGCCCACTGCCAAATAAAATTCCATTGATAGAATGGGATTTCTGGGTTGACCAGAAAACTGTTAGAAATATGATAATTGGTGGAGTAGACAAAGAAACGACAGCAACACTGGAAAAGAGACAAAAACGCAAATTTATGAAATCAGTGTGTGATGAAGCACAGTCAAAAGAGGTTGAATATGAAACTGAGGAAGATATTGATGAGGATGAGTGTAACATGTCTGAAAGTAATTATACATCAGAGGAAGAGACAGTATCAGTGCAGAACAGAAACAAGTACAAGGAATTATGTAAAGCAGTTGATCGATGCAAAATTAGCAACAGAGATACATGTCTTATTGTTAATGCTGTTTTAAAAGACCTCAGTATGTTGTCTTCAGCAACAATTCTTGATCCTTCAAAGCTATGTCGACAAAGGAATATCTGGAGAGATACTTTTGTTGAAGAACATATGCAGAGCAATAAGGAATTGTGCTGTATAGGCTTTGATGGAAAACAAGATGTTACATTAGTTGAGAGTTTTGGTTGTAGAAGAAGTAAAAAAGAAGAACACTATAGTATTGTCTCGCATCCAGGAAACATATACATCGATCATGTAGTTCCTGAAAGTAGTAAAGCTGCTGATATAACAAAGAAGTTAATGTCAGTTATTATAGAGACAGACTCCGTAGAAAGCATTCAAGGTGTTGTGTGTGATGGCACAAATAATAATACAGGTAAAAGCAACGGAATCATAAGAAAATTGGAGGAGAACTTAGGTAGACCATTACAGTGGTTGGTATGCCTTCTACACTGTAACAAGCTGCCATTTAGAAGGTTTTTGGCAGGTGTGGATTTTGCTCGAACTACAGGACCTTCCACATCAACAATTAGCTCAGCTCTAGAATATGATCCGCATGTCTAGCAGTACAGCGTAGACATAAGGCTTCTACAGATATTGATTTCCTTGAGAAGAGTTTACCTGGAAATATAAGTCATGCTCAGAGGTTGACGAAAGCCAACAGGATTTTGCGTCTCTACATGTCTAGAGAGGTGGCATCTAAACCACTCAGAAGAGTAACGCATTTCATTTTGAACTTTTACGGACCCTCTTGGTTCAAAATCAAATCAAATTCTTCTTGCCAAAATGGTGCTAACAACTTCTTTTACTTAGTTCAGTTGTTTCAGGAACTTGATGCATTAGACCTCCTGTTCTCAAAAATAACTGCTACTTTGCGCATGCTGAAAACATTCTGTTAGCTGCAGTTAGTGATAGTGATATGGAAATTCATTGTTTTTCAGTAGAACAAATAATAAGAGCAAGAGAGAAGCAAACTTATAGTAACATACCGGTTCGCGTCTTTGATAAGAAGGATATAACATTAAATCTGGCTGCGGCATTGTTCATTAACCGCCCGATGTTCCATGTCATTCACAATAGAGAGAACAATTAAAGACGTTAGCGCTGCAAGCTGTAAAGTTTATGGGAGAAAGTCCCGTCATGGCATAATTTTACAGAGTAAGAAATCCAGATTAGAGATACCAAAAATAGACAGCAAGAAAGATTTTATTAACAGTTAGGTTAAACAACTTTGTATTGTTGCTGTTTAACATTGATTCGTTACAGTTTACATTCTTTTTAATTTGTAATACAACAATACATTACACTAACATTGGGTATTTATGTAGTCTTTCTAGTCAGAGTTGGGACCTGTAGACACTATCCATAAAATAAAAAGTGAGGTTTTTTTAAACGAGTACATCAAAACGCAACTTTTTAGACATGTACAGGATCTCCAACTTAATATTTTTTACATTTCGACCCACCCTAATATATATATATATTATATATATATATATATATATATATATATATATATATATATATATATATATATATATATATATATATTATATATATATATATATATATATATGTTTGTATGTATGTATGTATGTATGTATGTATGTATATATATATATATATATTTATATAAAATTTTATATAAATATATATATATATATTAATAAAATAATTATCAAAATGTGTATTTTTTTGAATATAAAAAAAATATTTTTAATAATAAATATTTTGAGAAAAAAAGATTTACGTTTGCTTACTGGCTTGACTATCTTTTGCTCTTTCTTTATATATATATATATATATATATATATATATATATATATATATATATATATATATATATATATATATATATATATATGTTTGTATGTAGGTATGTATGTATGTATGTATGTATGTATGTATGTATGTATGTATATATATATATATTTATATAAAATTTTATATAAATATATATATATATATATTAATAAAATAATTATCAAAATGTGTATTTTTTTGAATATAAAAAAATATTTTTAATAATAAATATTTTGAGAAAAAAAGATTTACGTTTGCTTACTGGCTTGACTATCTTTTGCTCTTTCTATATATATATATATATATATATATATATATATATATATATATATATATATATATATATATATATATATATATATATATATATATATATATATATATATATATATATATATATATATATATATATATATATATATATATATAACTTTATATATAATATATATATATATATATATATTTTACAAAAAATATATATACTCACTTTACAAAAAATTTTCAAATGATTCATTTCGATGAGTCTTTTTTGATGAAACACAGTGTTAAATGAAAATTTTTTGTTGAGTGATTTTTTACTAATTTATTGTTGCTCTGTTCATCTAAGAACATTGAGCCAAAAAGAACACAGATTCAGCGCAATAGTTATTAAAATTACGATCAATTATATCGTAAAATTGTAATGTTATAAATAACATTGTAACATTTGAATGTTATGATCTGTAGCTCATATAATGTTGCGCAAATAATATAATTGGCCAGCATTTAAATAATATGATTTGCCAACACTCAAATAATATGATTGGCCAACATTTAAATAAAATTGAATCTTTTGATTAAGAAACAAATGTTTTGAAATCTTGTTCAAAATGATAAATATTAACATTTATGAAATAAATTATCAAATAAATATTAACATTTATGAAATAAATTTTATTAACTGCTTTGAGCAATATTATTATTCAATATAAATATATACACATACATTATCTATAAATTTTATATACACATATATTTATAATAAATAAAATATATAAAAATCATTTTGACAACTAAAATTATATAAAATTAAAAAAGTTCGTCATCAAGTGCAAATTTGCTTTTAACTAATTTTCTCTGAATTTGATGCGGTTTGATATTGTCATCAGTAGCGTTTTTTATGGAGGTCTGAAGTTGAGAATGTTTATTGCTTAAAATTGAGTCCTAAAAAAGAACATAGATAGATTTAATCTAATTGTATTTAAAATAAATAAATTAAACTTTGTAAAAACAATCACCTTCGATTTTTTACTTTGCAAACCACTGCTTGCCCATTTCATAGCAAGTTCATCTTTATCTGAAATATTTAAACCCATTTTTTACATAACTTTAAAATATCATATTTAATAAACATTAAATTTTATATTAACCAATAATTAACACATTAAACTTAAATCATTTCAAAAAAATATTTTTCTACCTAATTTTAAGTCTAAAAAATGCTTCAATAGTTGAATCATCAAACTTTTGAATTAAAGAAAATACTACACTACCCATAATTAGATTTTTTTTTTAAATTCATTTGTAATCATTATTTAAGTGGTTATGATTAGCAGCATAATAACAAACACAAAAATTTTTTTACAGACTTTAAAGATTTTAGATAATGCAATTTAGTAAATAATACCATTTATGACCAATTAAACCTATTAAATTTAAAAAATACTGTATTTAGTTTGTATTATATATAAACAAACATTAAATTTTTTATTAGAGTGCTTGTTGTGGCTTATCATTTCTCATATTATCAAAACTGAAGTTTATTTTATACACAAAATATGAACTTTGTAAAAGTTTTGAATAAGATAAAATAAGAATAAAAAAATTATTTATAAGTCTTTATTTAAAATTGAATGACCATTACAAAAGATTTAATTATGTACAATTTTATCTGTCATTAAATACCAAACAAAAGCTTGCTAAAAATGCAGGTAAAGAAATAAATCATTTCATGCATTAAAAAGGCATTGGAGCTCCTAATGTTTCATGGCAAGTAGAGGTCACTGACACCATCACAAAGAATACAGAGGTATTTTCGAATAAAAGATTGTTGATAGGTGGTGATCTTTGCAGTGTTCAGAGCTATGCTGTTGGTGTGAGTTAATTTAGTGGTAATGGGATGGCATAAGTCAGCATATTTTTGAAGAATGGTTTCAGGTGGGAAAAAATGAACAGAATTGGACCAGGAACTATGAAGTACACATCAGATTCAATACATTTCACGTCAGTGGCAAGATGTTTTAACTTTTTTGGTAATGGTTAGATAAATAAGCTGCAATCCTGGAAGTAAACCATCTAGGCTAAGTAAAATATTCATTAAGCAATTTGTAATGACTGACACGATCAAATGCTTTTGCAAAATCAAAGAATATTGCAAATTTTGATTTTTTATTATCTTTAGCACAAGTAGTCAGCTATAATTTGAATTTCATTTAATGTACAATGTCCTGGAAGGAAACCGAACTGTTTGTTTAAAACCCATATGTGATGAACAATGAAATTGGTAAAAATATGTCCAAAAACTTTGCATAATGAGGATGTAATGGCAATCTGATGGTAGACATTAGATGAGGATGAGTTAGATATTTTAAAAATTGGTTGAGGTTAACAAGCTTTATGGCTCTTAAAGATTGGCAAATGTCTTTGTCAGAATAATAAAAATTGTTGCAAGCAGCTTAGGGTAAAGTAGGGTAATTTCGGCAGGGAGATAATTTCAGCACACCTTCAAAAGACACCTAAAAATATTTATTTATTGGAATATTAAAGTTATAGTTGGGTGTTGTAGCAAGATAAACAATTTTTCTAAAAATATTGGTTTAAACTTTTCTTTTTACATTACAGGTACGTTAATTTATGATTATTGGCTTTTTCTTAACATTTTTACCTTTTTAAAAATGTAGGGTAAATGAACTTTTCTCGGAAATTTTTACCAAAAGTTGTTATTTATTTTATTCAAAAATGTAAACTTAATAAAATGTGAGCAACAATAAGATGAAACTCAAAGTATGTTACAAGATATAAAAGTTTCCCCAAGGAGTGCTCTAAGGAGATATTTTCGGCTGATGAATAGTTGTTAATTTCGGCAGTGCCGAATTTGCTGACCTGTGCTTTCTCTGAAACCAAAATGGAAATAAGCACTTGAAATATTATATATAGAAGTTAATTTTAGTAATTCAGATAGTAATAAAATAATAACAAGTTAGCAAAAAATTTAATTTGTTAGTGTCTCTGTGAAACTTAATAAAATAATAGTTCCTCACAATATAAATTAAATTTATGTCACATATAGTAATGTGTATATAATAATTATTAACTTATTATATACAATTATATATATATATATATATATATATATAAATATATATATATATATATATATATATATATATATATATATGTATATATATTATATACAATAATATATATATATTTACTTATTTATATACATATATATATATTTATATACATATATATTTATATACATATATATATATATATATATATATATATATATATATATATATATATATATATATATATATATATATATATATATATATATGATATATATATATATATATATATATATATATATATATTTATACATATATATATATATATATATATATTTATACAAAGCAGGAAAAGAATGGTTTAGGGGTTTTTTGAAAGGTCATAATATACTCTCTGTAAGACTTGCTGAATCAATGTCATTGCATTGAGCCATTGGTTTTAATAGAATAAAAGTTAATCATTTTTATGATGAGCTAGAAAAAATAATGTTTAATGCTCATGGAATGCAGACTATTCCACCATCAAACTTATTCAACGTAGATGAATCTGGATTGTCTATATGCCATAAACCAGGAAAAGTTGTTGCTCTAAAGGGAAAATACAGTGTTGGTGGCTTAACAAGTTCCGAACAAAAAAGAAAAACAATCACAATATTTTATTGCAAATCCGCAAGCGGATTTTTAGTCCCTCCAATTTTGATTTATCCTTGTATTCGAGTGAGACCTGAATTTTTAGATAAAGCCCCAATTGGTTCTATTTCTGGTGGCAGAAAAAATGGGTGGATAACAACTGATTTGTTTGAAAAATATATATATATATATATTTAATAGAATATATCTATTTAAAAGAAATATGTTATAAAATATACTGAAGAAGACTTTGCTGCAGCTAAGGCTACTGATCACTCGTATGTTGTATCAAGAATATCAAAACCTAATATTACCTCTGAAATATACCCTATTCTCGACAATGAGTTAGACTCTGCTAAAGATTTAGATCATATTGATTTTGTCACAGATTGCGTTGTTGCTTCTCAAAAAGGTAAATTTTTTTAAAAGATGTATTATTTTTACCATCTTCCACCATTTATTTAAAACACATATGTAATGTTTTTAAAATCAAGCGAAATAATAGCTTATCTGTTGTTTTATTAACCTAAAAAAAAGTTTCTTAAAAAAATAGTTCATACTTTTTTAAAACATTTCAACTATTTTTTTATAATTTACATGTTGCCTAATTTTATTCACCTTCTTTAGTTAAAAATTTTTATTTAGAATCTGCTTCACCAAACTCATCATTTACATCTCAGAAGTCATTAGAAGTAGCCACCTCCGATGAAACCTCACGACCTCATGGTGTTACATTTAGATCACTAGCTGGACTTGACATTAAAAATACAAAACAAACAGGTATAAAAAGGAGGGTAAATCATGCTGAAAAAATTACTGGATCACCATACAAATCTCAGCTAGAGGAATCTTTAAACTTGAAATATAAGAACAGACAGCCACGTAAAAAATGCATGAAAAAAAATATGTCTACACATCAAAAGATGTGTTTAAATAACCTTGATGTTAAAGGTGTGATTAATAACAACTTTGTGCAATGTGTCAATACAGTTATGGTGATCCTGTCGATCCGTATTTAAAGGATAATTGAAATAAATGCCATAAATACTGTAGATCGTGGCATGAAACATGTGCTGCTATATGTGGTGTTTATGCAAAAAAAAATATTTACTTGCGATGATGTCTCATATATTGATAAACTGTTTTTTAACTTTCTTAAATAAATCTTTTTTTATAAAGATTTCTTTGAATTTTGTATTTTATTTTTTTATGTATAACTATTGAAGTTATGTAAAATATTATTTTATGAAATACTTATGAGCTAAACATAAATTCTTATTTAAAAATTATTTAGAAATAATTATCAAAATCATAGAAATTTGTATTCATTTCATTTATAATTTTACTTTGAAAGCACATTTTTCTAATAAGGTTACTGTTTTGGGTGATATACTCATACTTTACTAAAATAGGTGGTTCAAAAATTATTAATCTTTGCAATTGCAACGCCCTTAATTAAAATGCCAATTAGATGTAACAAATTCCATTTAAGAGACAATTACTTTATACAATGCAGATTTATAGCTGTTTATAATATTTTAATTATATTAATGCGTTTTCAACGAACTTCTTAATTTTCTTAAGTATGCTGAATTTACTGTATCATTGTGCCGAAAATACCATAATAGGTCGCTAATTTTGTCATTTTTGAGTATTTTGTAAAACAAATTTTACATAAAACTTTGTAAGTTTGAAACAATTTTATAATTATTTTTTGATAGATATATCTGCAGGGCATCGATATGCAGGATTTTTTAACATTATTAAAGCAACCATTGTTCATAAACAAAATAGCTTAATACACCAAAATTACCCTACTTTACCCTATATTTCATACGGTGACCTAAGGTTTCAAGATTGATAAATAGAATTAGTACAACAGTGAAATTAGTGGTGTTAATGGTAGACCATTAACACCACTAATTATTGAACTTTTCTAAAGTTCTATAAATGTTTATGAAGAAAAAGCAAGTCTTGCCAATCTACATTAAATAGTGCTCAAGATTTAGAAAAAAAAAATCAAGGAAAAAATAACACAGATATATGCATTAGTAATGTATAAGGAAAAATCGTTTTTACAGCCAAACTTTTATTTGTTTTAATTACTATTTTCTATACTTCGTCAGCGCATATCCCATGTCATACAGTTTTTAAACGTAAGATCTTGAATACTATTTATTATAGACTGGCAAGACTTGTTTTTTCTTCATGAACACTTATAGAAATTTAGAAAAGTTCAATATCTGGCATATCCGGCAAAAATATCCGATACACCTCTAGTGTTTAGGTGACACTTGCTAAAAAACTGGTTAGGGAAAACACCAAATATTATTATATTTTTCTCATACTTAGCTGTAGGCTTTAGTTCAACAAGGACCTGAACAATATGTGGCAATGAGTTTGGCTTGAAATGATATTCATGAGCTCCATTATCCAGATATCAAGGTGGGCAATTGACAGTGCTAAGTTTTTGATAACTGAGTAATCATTGGCATCAACTTCGTAAAAATTTTTCCACCGTCAATACTACTGATACTGCTTTTAAATAACAACTTCTAGCGATTGTTAGTAAACATTTTTTTTAATACAAAATAAATGTTTATATTTTAAGGCAATTTAAAGAAATATTGAAACTACTGGCTGTTTAAATTATATTTCAAAAATGAAAAACCGTTTTTCTAGGCTCTTGGAGTTGCATATCTAATTTAGACCAATTGGTCTTGATCTGGCCTTGCAAATTGACTAAAATTACCTCTTACATGATAAATTAGAAAAACACATGGCATTTGATATCCCACAATATCCCACCCCTTTAGCTATATATAATGTGCAATAGCCACACATGGTTTTACTGAACTTACTAATGACCTAATATGGGTCTATCTATTTTTCCAAGTATGTCACTTCTAATTAAACTTTTTTAAATTTTTATAACAAGTATTAAATTCATAACATCATTTTAAAAGTTTATATATGATTAACAAAACCAATTCACAGAAATCCAACCTAAAAATTGAAACATTTTTTTCCGCATAACATAACTTAAACAGTATTTTCAGTTCAAAGTTCCCCCCATTCTTTTTTTAAATTCCCCGCCATTCTTCTGTCAGACTCAAAACTTTTTAAACTAGCTTATTTTATTCTTTAGAATAAAAATTTATTAGTCAGTTTAAAGAATATTATTTTTAATATTCTTTAATATTAATAATCAATATATTAGGTTACTAGATTGAGTATATATATATATATATATATATATATATATAATATATATATATAATTATATATATAATATATATATATATATACATAATATTTATATATATAATATATAAATATTATGTATATATATATTATGTATATATATATATATATATATATATATATATATATATATATATATATATATATATATATATATATATATATATATATATACATAATATATATATATATATATATATATATATAATATTTGGTACAATATATAATTTAATTTTTTGTTTATTCCTGAACATTTATCTATTAAGATATTATCTATTATAAATCTTTTTTATTTTTGAAATGACTATATTTTACTTTCAAAAACAAAAAACTTAATTTTAACTCCTTATAAAGCATTCAGATTTAAACTGATTTTATGTCAAGTTAAAAACCTTTTTTTGAAGCTGTTTCCTTCTTTAACTTATCTTGTTTTCTACCTAATGTTGAGGTGCATACTAACTCATCATTTTCATCATCTTCATCATCGTCATCTTCATTACTGATCAATTGTGAGTTATTTGACCAAGGGTTTGATGATGCTTTTAATTGTGTAACAGAAGTTGCTTAAAAATAAAATTTAAATTGTTTGGTAATTGCTAAAAAACATAAAATTAAAAAATATTATTTATTAAAAATAAATAAATGTTGCTTTTATCACTAGAAGTTTTTTTTTTAATTTTTTTAAGCAGTTGAAACATAACTAAAAAATACACAAATAAAAAGCTTATACACAAGTATTATATTATTCTATCAAATTAAAATAATAATCTAATGTCATAGTTATTTTATTTAAAGTTGTCATACAATAATACTATGAGCAGTTTGTACACACCCCTTATACAACCTTTCAACTTCTATTTATGTTTAAGCACCAGCAAATAGTGTTTGCATTAAACGAATAGTGAACAGTACTATTTGTTAAATATAGTTTAATTAATAGTAATTTTCATTTAACAAATAGTAACAAGGTTTTATTTCTTCAAATAATAATTTATTTTTTTTAAATAGTAATAAATTTTTTCAATTACGTGATCTAGATACTTAAATTTGTCAACAAAAACTAATAAAGAACAAATTTAGGAAAATAGATAAAAGTTGCTTGACACAACTTTACATTTCTGCTTTGGAATGCATACTATTTTATGTATAACAAAATATTAAAAAGTGATGCTAAAAAATTAATAAAATAAATAAATAAATAACAGTGTAAATGAAAAATAATAGTAATAATAAAAAGTAACAGTAAAAACTAAAAGCGAATAAAGAAAATTTGATTAATTATAAGTGATTAACATAGATAAAAGTATAATCAAAGAAGGAACATCAACCATTTTTTATAATAAAATGATTTTAAAACAAAAAAACAAAAACTAATAAGTATCCATTTATACAAAAATCGAAACAATTTGTTGCTTTATTTTATGTCATCTGATTTATACATTTAGTGATACAAATTTTACCTACCTATTTTTACTTCATGCGGATTTATGCCCAAATGAAATTATTTGTGTTCTAAACACTCTGATTTATTGTTTAACAAATAATTCTGAAGGGGATTATTATGTAAGCAATTTATAAAAAAAGAAGAATCTCAAACCAGTTTCTTAAACTTTAAACTGGATTTTAACAAATAGTGAAATTAATAGCAAATAGTATATTTATTGACTAAAGTTTTATGAGGACCTAATAATCCTTTAACAAATAAAACTATTCATTTAATGAATAGTACTATTTATTCAATAAACTTTGTAAATAAAGTTTAAGGAATATTCTCTATTCGACTTTGTTTAACAGGCAAGGTTAAATAAACTTTGACTGTGCTTTAGAGTGATTCTAAAACAACTTTTTTTGAAAATGACTGCTGGCTCCCCCTGAATATGTTGTATTTAATAAAAAATGCTAGATTTAAAAATTTTTTGGATAAAAAATGTTTTAAGGGGTTTCTACTGACCCTCGAATATTAAATAGGTCTATAATATTATTTTAAAAAAAATTTTCAAAATTATGTCATGTTGGGTCTCAAACGAAGCAAAATTATATAAAAAATTTCAAAAATAATATAAATATTTTTTTTTATTTTATAAAAAAATATAGATGAAAAAAAATTATAATCAAAAATCTTGTTAAATTCTCTATTTTTCATTTTTAGTTAAAAAACATAATTTCCTGTTCACTAAAATCAAAAATAAAAAATTTAATTATAAAATGATTAATATTTTTGAAATTTTTATATAATTTCACTTTGTTTCAGATCCAACATGACATACTTTTGAAAAACTTTTTTATGTTTGAGGGTTGGTAGCAACCCCTTAAAATATTTTTTATTCAAAAATTTTTTAAATCTAGCATTTTTTTATTATATACAACATATTCAGGGGGTGCCAGCAGTCATTTTCAAAAAAAGTTGTTTTTAGAACCACCCTACCATGCTTTTTAGAACCACCCTACCATGCATATAACTTTTTAACTTTTATTTATATAAATACATCCCCTTAATATAACTTTTTCACTTCTATTTATGTAAATAAATCCCCTAATATAACTTCTTCATTTTTATTCATTGAATATATTCCCCTAATATAACTTCTTTATTTCTATTTATGTAAATGCATCCCCCTAATATAACTTTTTCACTTTTATTTATGTAAATACATATCTCCCTAATCTTCTTCACTTCTTATGTCTATTACATTCGAGGGGTGTTTGAATTATTTAACAAATACAAATACGTTGTACAAATTCTAAAGGACAGATATTAATTTTGCAGAAAATTATAAACCTATTACTCAAAATGAACAACTCACTCAAAACGCCCAAACATTATTTTTTTTTAAGCCCATGCATGACAAGTTAATTGTTGATGAAATCAGGGGATTTATTAAAAGATTTGTAAGATCCAGAACTTTGCACAAAATATCGAAGTAAGAACAACATTACAACTTGTAAAGGCAGCAGAAAAAATGGCTGTCAATGTCATTTTGGTTAACTTGAAGAAATTCAAATTACAATCATAATGGTTTTTGGTCTAGAAATCTTTCAGTAAGCTTTGATATTCAACAAACAGATAACAAACATGTTTATAGCCTATTTTAAAATCAAAGTTAAAGCAAGCCTAAAAAAAACTTTTTTATAATGTAATGTAATATGTAATATCAGTACGTAATCTTTAGAATAAAAACTTAAGAAATTGGAGCTAAATGAAATTTAATAAGCACTTTTTTTTTTTAAATGATGCAATTGTAACTTTTATTTCAAAACTTATTAACCACAACTTTTATTTTGAAATTTTATTGTGTACAAATATGGTAAGAGTACGTTGTACTGGTAATGATTTATGTAATGATTTACAAATGTTTCAAATGTTGTAAATTTACTGAAAATAAAAATTTTGTTGCAGTCAATTGTTGGTTAGCTGTGGACAATTTTTTAGTAAAGAATTTTTTAGTAAAGAAAATAGTGGGTAAAATTAAATAGATCAGGCAAAAAAATTAATATTGTGATTTGTATTCATATTTTTAACTTACATGCAGGGGATTGGTAACAAGTTATTTTAAGTAAAGCATGCAGTAAACTTACATGCAGGGGATTGGTAACAAGTTATTTTAAGTAAAGCATACAGTAAACTTACATGCAGGGGATTGGTAACAAGTTATTTTAAGTAAAGCATACAGTAAACTTACATGCAGGGGATTGGTAACATGTTATTTTAAGTAAAGCATACAGTAAACTTACATGCAGGGGATTGGTAACAAGTTATTTTAAGTAAAGCATACAGTAAACTTACATGCAGGGGATTGGTAACATGTTATTTTAAGTAAAGCATACAGTAAACTTACATGCAGGGGATTGGTAACATGTTATTTTAAGTAAAGCATACAGTAAAACTTACAAGCAGGGGATTGGTAACATGTTATTTTAAGTAAAGCATACAGTAAAACTTGCCTATCACTGAAGCCAAGAAGAAAGATTATTGTTGCAACTTGAAAATCAAGTAATCCTATCAATATCAGGTTTTCAAAGAAAAAAATTTTTTTTTTTTTCCTTTAAATAATAAATCTTATTTCTTGGCTTCAGCAATACGCAAGTTTTACTGTATGCTTTACTCTTTGAAAACCTTATATCAAAATGCTCATGTTTGAAAACCTGATATTAAAATGCTCATGTTTCAAAACCTGATATCAAAATGCTCATGTTTCAAAACCTGATATCAAAATGCTCATGTTTGAAAACCTGATATTAAAATGCTCAAATGTGGTATGCACAATAGTAATATATAATTTAATTTAAATATTTAAAAAAATATAGCTTCACATAAATAATGAACATTTATAAAATTTTAATATACATTAATATCATCCATATATAAAAACAAATTATAAATTTCGTTATGAGTTTCTAAAATAAAATAAAAGTATTTAAAGTGAGAAATTTGTGAACACTACATCAGAACTATAATCATAGAATTATACAGCCTATAATATTTCAATATCTATGTTAAAAATCTTCAAAATATTCATATTATCTTGTAAAACATTTTATAAAAATATTACCTTGAGTCATTTTACGATTTTTTTTATCATGCAAGCTGTCGCTATCAACAAATAATTCTAAAGATCCTTTAGATCTTGGCTTATCATTAGAATCTTTATGTTTCTGTTGGTTTTTGTGATCGGTATCAAAAGAAAATTTTAAATTTGATCTACCATTATTCTTAAATGATTTTTCATTATTTTCTTTAGATTCTTTTTCAGGCTGAGTTTTAGAATTATTAACATTATAAGAAGATTTTTGGTTGTTTCTATATTTTGAGAGACTCACACTGCTCCCTACCACCACATCGTCATCTTCATCAGAATCAATATTACTCAATTCGTCAATTGATTTAACATTGTTCTCTTTGTCATCAGAAGAATGGTATGTACCTTAATAAGATTTAGATGTAACCAATTATTTGAATTATGCAAAATTAAAAAAAAGTTAATATCAAGGCTTTAAAAATGTAAAAAAACTAAATAAAAAATTTCTAACATCAAATTTTATTTTAAAATTTTATCACCTTTTTTATTTTTTTTAACATGATTTTCCACCTTATTTACTTGTTTTTCTTCATCACTAACAGAAAAAATAGATATTAAAAATACAAAAAACATCTAAACTTATTTTAATATTTGTGTTTAAATGGTTTGTTAATATAATCATATATAATTAATATAATTTTACAACTAGTAGGTAATTCACTGTTATTAAGAACAGTAGTCCTTCAGTTAAACGATGTAAAATAAATTTATTTTTTCGCTTCTTTCACTAGATGTTTGCACGTTAATGAAGGTTTTTTAAGAAAAAAGATTGCTGCGCTATGCCAAACCCTCAGTTAATGCAGCAGCACTTGTTTTTAGCAGCAGGCTATAAGATAATCGATGTAGCAGCACTACCTTGTAGCAGCAGGCTATAAGATAGTCAATGTATGTACTGAAGCCAATAAATATTCTTGATGTTTATATTAAAATTACCACTTTGAGCATATCTCTATGCAAGATCGCAACAAACGTGGCTTAACTGAAGGATCACCGTAGGTATACTATGCATGTTCTGCCAATATAAGTCAGTCAATGTATGTACACTCTGCAGCATGTTCTTCCAATTTAAGTCAGTTAATGTATGTACAAAAAATTAAAAAAAAAAAGAAAAAATAAAGAAACAAAACAAAAGGTAAAGAAAAAATAAAACAAATAAAAACAAAACAAAAAATGACAATAAGCAACAAGAAAATAAAATAACACTTTTTTAAAAAAATTCGAAAACCAAAAAAAAAAAACTTGTAAATAGATTTGCGGTTTTTTTAAAAAACGATTTAATTTAATTAGTTTCTACAATCATTTTATTTACAACCAAAAAAAATTAATTATTTATCTTTATTGTTAGAATTAAAAAAACCAACTATTCAACTATCAATGAATATTTGATGGATTTTAATATTAGTAATAATAAAAATGTTATTACAACTTTGAAAGAAACCTTTAAAAATAAGATCCAATTAAAAAAAAAAAAAATTATTAACACAAAACAAAAAAATCAATAAAAACTAAAATTGAAAAAAAATATAATAAAAATATGTTTAATGCTATAGGAGTTGACACAAAACTTTATAATGACAGATTAAGTACTTTTTTTATTCATATACTCATTGCCAAAGAAACTCAGATGTTTACATACATAAACAATTTGGTATATGTAATTCAAAAAAAAAAAAAAACTATTTTAGTAACAAAACGGTTTTATATAACAAAGAAGAAATTAATTAATATTGAAGGAGGAAAAGTAAAAATAATTTAAAATATGGAATTTGACAGACTATTATTATGTGTGTAGAACATTTACATAAAACAATAAAGTATGCCAAAAAGATGACACTGTTAGGCACAGTTGTCTTTCAGGCTAAATCTAAAGAAGTATTATGTGTAGCAAATAAAAAAAATTATTGAAAAATAGAAAAAATGTATATTTATATAGTGAATACCAAATAAAGTGAAAATTTATAAAAGGAAATCATAAATGAAAAATTACTTTTTGTTTTTATTCAGAAACTGACTCCGAACTGCGTGAGCTCTAAAAGTGGACTGAATGAGCAATATATCACTTTCATATGGTTCCTTCTTTAAAAGATTTTTTAAAACTCCACTCTTATTTTTGTCTTCATTAATAGAATCAATAAATTTCTGACGAGCAAGATGACCTTTTAATGCAGCTTGAATTTCAATAACACTCTTAAATATTAAATAAAACATCATTTTATATTTATACAAGAAAAATTAAGGAAGAAAACAAGATTTTTGTGTTTATACAAGAATAAAAAAAATTTTATATGATAAATTGACTAACATTGATTAATATTTCTTCATAATTATTTTGATCTTTTTCCTAAAAAAAAAAAAAAGAAAAGAAAAAAGAAACAGTTTTAAAACAAATAAAATAATAAACAATGAAACATTAAAATATTTTAAAACTGGTAAATTACTATTTTGTTCTTTCGGTTTCTCCAACTTCTTTGTATCGTTGTTGCTGCTTCATTTTCTTTTAAGGCATTCAGTCTCTCTTCCTTTACTAACTCAGCTCGCTCATTCGCCAACTCAGCTTCTTTAAGATTTTCAGGCGAAGATTTTTGTATGAATGACTTTTTTCTAATTTAAAATTTAATTAAAAGGTAAAGATAAAATAATTTTTTTTTCAACAAATAAATAAAACAAACAAATAAATAGAACAGACCTAATTTCATTAGATATTTTTGTTTCATTTTCTACTGTACTTGCTTTTGATTGTAAAGTAACTGGTGTTTTTTTATTTGCCTCAATTTGTTGTCTAAAAACAAAACAAAGTAATAAATTAGGTGTAGAGTGAATACTTTCAACTCATGGCAAAACTTTCAACTCATGGCAAAACTTTCAACTCATGGCAAAAATAAAAGTTAACATTGCAATAACTATTTTTATATTTATAACTATCAAAAATATAGATTGTAATATACAATATAAAAAAAATGATAAATTTAATAATAGTAATAACAGTAGCAATAATATTAATCCAATAATTAAAAAAGAAACTAAAAACACTTATACAATTTCAGAAATTTAAAATTATTTTGTAATATTTATTTTTTCTTAATGTTTTTGAGAGCCAAAGCTGCCAATTTTTCTTAGCTCAGGCACTGGCTCCAGCAAAATGTAGAACCCCCATGGTTCTGGTTTTCATGGTTCTATCTAGACTAAACAAGCTTGGTAGCAGCACTCAAAAGAATAATAAACAAAAATAACAGCTTAATAATTATTATTACAGTCGTATGGCATATGAGACCTTGACACCACAAAATATGTAAAAAAAAAAATAAGAGAAAAGTACTTAAAAGGACTGCATCAATCTAACTGCTATACATCCCACTTTGCTTATGATCTAGTCAGTGATATGTGGAATTGGAATCATAAGGCTCTACATTGTTGAGGGAATAATGAACCACTTGCAATTAAAAGAGTCTGGTCACAAAGGTTGTTGTCACAAGTGGCAAAGTGTTTTGGTAAAAGGAAAAACTCAATACAAGCACTGCACCATACAGCTAAATCAATTTTTAAATATTTAATAGAACAGAATGTTCTAATAATGGAATGGCCTGGAAACTTTCCTTAACTAAATCTTATAAAAAAAATGTCTGTGAGCTCCTCATAAAAAGGAAATATCTAGAGAAGATTTTACAAATAAAGTGTATTCAAAAAAAAAGATTTATTCTCTAATGGAATCAAGACTGCAGGTAATAGCAGAAAACTACATACGTACAGGTAAAAGCCAAAAAGATTTTTGGATACTCTATCTGGCAAAATGATTTTTATAAACTAAAACTTATCATCAATTTGTTAAATGCTTTTTATTCATCAATAAAATACCTTTTTGATAAAAATATCATTTGAGTAGTTACAAATTATTAAAATAATAAACTTGTAAAAATTCTGTTTGTGAAAAACTGTGGGCAGCCATAATAAAATTTTAAAACTAAATACTTTTGTTACACAGTCATACAACTGTATAACAATGGTATTAGATTTTATATGAAGAGTAAAACAAAATATATAAAACTTTAATATAAAAACATTTCAAAAAGGTGTTTTTAAGTAAATAAAAACATCGAACCTAAAATCATCTGTCATTTTTCTATAATGTGTTCGTTCTTCTTTTAATTTAGCAACTGAACTTTCTAAGCAGTCTATCTGTTCAAGTAGCTCTTTTTCTCGTGAACGAAGTTGTTTTATTTGTTGAGGCAAAGAACCTCTAAGTTCAATGCTTTCTAAGTTTTTAAACAAAAATTACAAAAACAAAAATAAAAAAGCTTAATTCATAATAAAAAATTATATTAAAAAATAAAAAACTAAAATTAACTTTAAATAAACATTTTCTTTACATAATAATTTTATGCTTACATTTACTATTTATTAAATACTGGCATACATTTATACTTTTTTAAACTCATGATCATGATGATCACAATCATGATCATCATTAGTCTTTAGCTTTCCTCTTTTATGCTGTTGATGATGATCATGATCATGATGATCATCATTATCATCATGATGAACATGATGATAATAATGATTATGATGATCATGTTGATCATGATCATGTTGAGTATATATATACAAAATATAACATGAATTTTGAATAAAAATATACTTTAGGATGTATAAATGTTTATGCAGCCCCGGTTACAAACCCGGCCCTGCTCAAATAATAATCCCGGTCACTTATTAATAAATATATATATACATATATATATATATATATATATATATATATATATATATATATATATATATATATATATATATATATATATATATATATATATATATATATATATATATATATATATATATATATATATATATATATATATATATATATATATATATATATATATATATGTATATATATATATATATATATATATATATATATATATAACAAAAAAAATTGAAAAAAATCTTAAAAGTAACACACTTTCATGCAAATCTTCACCAGATTTATCTTTGTTAGGATGATCTGTACAACTTCCATCCAATTTTTCACTTTGTTTTACTTTCTTAATAAAATTTAAAACAATATTTAAGGCATCAAAAAAGTATAAAAACTAAATCTAACTTTTTCACTTTTTATTTTAGAATGATTTTTATTCCACCAAATATTCAATGTTTTTATTCTAAAAAATATACAACATTATTTTTGCACAATATTAGTTGTTATTGTGCTGTTCCTTGTATATAAAAACATATATTGTGACTAATCTATCATTATTGTATATTAAATGTATTATTATTTATTCCAGTGTATTATTATTGAATACTGAATATTAAAATATTGTCTTTTAAACTACATTGTATATTAATTGATGAGCAATTTTAAATGTTTATGATGTTACTTAAATGTCAAAAAAAAAAAAAACTATAAAAATTAAATAAAAATATCATACTTACTTGTTCTAACATTGCTATTTTTTGTAGAAGTTCATTTCTACTCATATCCTCACAGTCTAAATATAGTAAAATTAAATGCACATATATCATAAACCTGGTTGGTTTATGATATAGGTTTTTTGCAATTAATTTAGACAAAAAACAATCACAAAATAAATAGTGATATATATATATACATATATACATATACATATATATATATATATATATATATATATATATATATATATATATATATATATATATATATATATATATACACACATATATATATATATATATATATATATATATATATATATATATATATATATATATATATATATATATATATATATATATATAAATATATATATACACAAGGGTTAAAGTAGGGGGAACGCAGGGGAGCGTTGTTCCTCTATAGCCCACAAATCAAGATATTGTTCCGCTTTGCTCAATATTTCTTTTTTAATTTTAGATTATTTTCACTTTGCGCGCTGATTTTTATTGAAGTTAAAGAGCTATTTTAATTTTTGCTAAAATTTATGACTAATATTAAGTAGTATTAGTCATCATGCGAGATCTCGAAATACAGCAAAAATGCACCTAACAAAAAAACACCTAATTTGAAGGTATGATTCCACACCCAAATGAGCTATTAGATAAACCAGGTCCAACTATGTTTACAATGCATTTTTTTACTTTGTCTAGACAAAAAAGAGCATCATTAAAAGAACTAGCCCAAATATGACAACATTCTATACAGGGGCAAATAAAAGATTTGTATAGGTAGAGAATGGAATTGGTAGTAAAAAAATGGCAAACACGATAAAGAGAAGAACCCTTACCAGATACTTCAAAATAAATTGTATATATAATTTCAATGAGAGGTTAATAGAGAATGATAATCCAAGAAGACATAAAGTAGAGGACACAGTGAGAGGGTTGCCATTTATCAATGTAGTTATATCAAAAATATTACCATAGTTACTTGCAGTAAACAACTGAGTTTTGTTGGAGTTAAAATTCACAAGCAACTGCAAGACCTAAGCTGTTACAAAAGAGAGATTAGATTTAAGATCAGGTGGATGTCCTAAGCAATCAAAAGTGATGACTCTTTGTCAAGACAGGAGTGTAAACTTTACACTGTAAAGTGGAGTTGTCAGCAAATAGAGCCACTTTAGATATAAGATTATCAGGAAGATTATCAATATAGATATAAAAGAATACAGGACCAATGGTAGAATCTTGAGGTATCCCAGAAGTAGAAACAGAGAAGAGTGTCCTTCAAGGATGACTTTAATACTCCAACTAGAATGAAATGATTTGATTATCTCAAAAAAAAATTTAAATATACCATACAAAGCAAACTTATAGAGAAGGCAAACTTTATTGAAAGCTTTTGATATGTCTAGAGCAATAGCCCTTGCCCCAAGGGCTATTGCTACCCCCTTTACCTCTACTACTACATGATAGAATCTTAACCCTTGCCCCACTACCTCTACTATTGCATGATAGAATCTTTCAGTTGGAGTAGATAGCAAGTCAGTCATTGAACTAGAAAAACTGTACTAATTGTCAGGGAGTAAGTTATTAGTTTATGATGGTTAGAAATTTTATTAATTACTTAAAAACCTTTAATAATTTTAGTAAATCTATATTTTTTGTTTAATCAATTAGTCTTGATTAATTTTTTTTAAAAGTTCAATTCAATTTTAAAAGTTTTTGTTATTTTTTTGTGGTTGGTCTTCTAATTCTACTTTTAACAAAGATATTAAAAAACTTAAAAAAGTAGAAACCTTTGCAGCGCATTCTTTTCATATAAAGTTATGCACTTGGTTAAAATTTATGCAATTCAAAATTCAATTGGATAAATTAAAAATAATAAATAGTTCAATTCTATCAAAAATAAGTTTATTTAGGGTAAAAATTTGCTTCTGCCTTTGAATATTTTATTTTTAGTTTTTAACTAAATTTAGATATTGACTAATATGAAAAATATTGTAGCAAGAGTAGTCATAAAAGCAGTTTAGAATTTTGCGTTGAAAAACTTGGATGATTCTATCATTCTTGAAAATATAGTTTGGAAAAAAATTTAGCTATATTTCTTCAACAGAAAAAAAAATATTATTGGTGTTGAGAAAGATACAATGATAAAATAACTGATAAGTATTACGCTTTTAATAAAGTTTTTGGAATTGATAAAACAATTACAAATTAACTGGCATTTAAATTCAATTACATTAGAATGGAACAAGTGAATTTCTATTTTAGCTCTTTTTATCTTGTTTTGAAAATACTCAAGAAAATACAAGGCGGTCCTTTACTTGTGAATCAAATGTCAATATATAATTGAAAAAGTAAAAAATCTTTTGAGTGCCAAAAAACGATTGAAGAATAAGATACTTATTTTATGAATACAAATAGCTCATTGTTGCAAAGATCAACTCTATTTAAAATCACATTTAAAATCAACGTTTTTTTGTATTTTTATCAACATATGTTGATAAAAATACAAAAAAACGCTGTCTTATGTTTACAGAAGAATACAATAATAGTTTTAAGGTACTACTTGGAAAGTCTTCACAACAATTCACAATCACAGACAATGACTTTTTTATTGTTAGAGTACTGCAAGAGTTTTGAGGAAGTGCTCCAACCACTGCAACACAGCAGCTATAAAGTTATTTCACATTTTTATCTTATACAAACTAATTTTATGTATAATGCTTAAGATTAAAATTGATAAAATGGAAAGAAAATTATTTATCATAGATTCAAATTTATTTCTTTTATTCAAATTCATTTTATTTAACTATTCAAATTAAATAATAATAATGATATCATTTAAATTAACAATTGTTTTGTCAATATAATCACTTTTATCGAAATTGAAGTAGAAGAAATATTTATATTGAAAAAAAAGTATCAAGTAATTTGAAATTAGCATAAAAAAATAATTAAGAAAAAGTGGTTAAACTACACAAAATCTAGAGAAGGTTAATTTTGGACCACCCCTCCTTCCTAATAATAGAGAGAAGACTGATCAGGGTCAGTGGTGTTAAAGCCAAGCCATTGAGTGTGAGGAGCATAAAAGTCATCAATAACAACAATATTGGCAGATGGATTAAAAGATAGGACGTCGTCAATTTGATCAGAAAAGTACATCTAAAAAAAGAATGCAGTTTGAGAAGGAAAACAATAAAGAAAAAGATAATAAGTGAAGAGCTAAGACAAAGCACATAAAAGGATGGTCAAAGGATTCAAACCTGAATTCTTCACATATAGGTAAATTGATGAGTAAGTATATGTCCAAGCCAAGCATGTGACTATTGGAGTCTTTGCGAATGAATAGATAATACCCATCAATACTAAGATCCAAAAAAGAAACAGCTGAATTCAAAATAGTGATGAAAAAACTGCTATGGGCAAGTAATTCTGATAAACTTTGCAAAAGGTAATCATCAGCTGACAGAAAGTTATTTCAAAAAACTATATATTTGTAAAAAATATATATTAAAATGGTTATATGGTGGTTTTTATATTTATTATTTTTTGGTTACTTAAGTCATAATTTAAGTTAAAAAGATCTTGACCCATTCATAGATAAAGCATAGCATCATAAGCAATGAGTTATGCAGTTGTCTCTTAGGGCTTCTTATGTGGCCTTAACAATGCACACCAAAAGTACTAATCCATGCACCATCTATGTACTAATTATAGATCATCCAAGTCATATTTTTAGAATCCAGAAAATTGTTTGCATAAAATATCCAGAATATGTTTTCCCTTATTTTTTTTTTTAATTTTGCTTTCAGCTGAGTTGTTTCTAACTTTTTTTTTAAACTTTTCATAATCTTTCTATGAGTGATGAGTGAAAAAGCTTAAAAAACAAATATATCACAAAAATATATACCTAAACTTGCATGTATGGAAAATGCTTTAGATATCCGTAAAAACTTAAATTTTGAAAAAACTATCCGAAATTCCAGAAATATCCAGAAAAAAATAATCCCTAACTAATCCATCCACCATCCAAAAGTACTAATCCATACACTATCCATGTGCAATATGTCACTGTTAACTCTCTGATATTTTACAGCTGTTGATGAAATCAGCCTCTTTGGATTCTCTATCTCTCATCAGCCTCTCTCTCGGATTTTTAAAATATATATATGTATTATATATATATATATATATACACACATATACACTTAAACAAGTTTAAAAAAATCTCTCTCGCACTCTCTCTCTGTCTCTCTGTCTCTCTCTCTCTCTCTTTCTCTCTCACTCTCTCTCTCTCTCTCTCTCTCTCTCTCTCTCTCTCTCTCTTATATATATATATATATATATATATATATATATATATATATATATATATATATATATATATATATATATATATATATATATATATATATATATATATACATATATATATATATATATATATATATATATATATATATATATATATATATATATATGGCCATAATTATGAGAATGCTGTATTTTTTTATAGTATGGCTTTTAGAACCTGAATATAACAAGCAGTTAACACCAATAACAATTAGTTTGTGCTTTAATTATAAATTATGATTAAATTATTAGTAAAAAAGCATCTTAAAGGCGTGATTTTCTCAAAAGTCAATAATTGGTGGGGTGCCCTTTGTTGGCTATCACAGCCCTTATCTTCTCAGGCATTGAATCAACTAATTTTTAGCAACATTCCAGCATTATTTCTTGAGTCCAAACAGTCATGATCGTTTTCTTAAGGGTGTTTTCGGAACTAGGATTCATCATAGCAACTTTCTGCTTCATCAACATCCATAAATTTTCTATTGAATTAAGGTCCGGGCTGGAGCCAGGCCAAGGTCCTAAGACATCAATGTGTTGACCCATTAGCCACTGGCTTACTGTGAGACCCCTTAAAATATTTTTTATTCAAAAAAATATTTTTATTTAAAAAAATATTTAAATGTGTGCAAAATAATAAAAAAACCTAGGGTTATTTTATTATTTTGCACACATTTAGAGGTTGTGCCTAGTTTTTTGAAAACAAAAATTATTTGAAACAAAGGTCTGACTAATTAAAAAAATCACATTTATTTTGTTTAATTCATAAAAAAGTTCACCAAGACACCTGACAACATGGTTGGGTGTCGTATGTAACCAAAAAAGGAACATTTGATAAAGTTTGTTCTTTTTAAAATTGCTGTAAAACTTAACTTTTTTTGATGCCAAACTGATATACCTTAAGAGAAAAAAAATTATGGTAAAATATGACACCTACCATGTCCGGTGTCTGGGTGCAGGAACTTTTTTATTAGAATCAGCTTTATAATCATTTATAAATTATTAGGTCATAAACATTCATCATTTGAGACCACAGGAGATGCAAAACTTTGCAAAAATATTTACAGTCATAACCCAGTGTATAAAGAACCAAAGAATTATGAAAAATAATGAGAATTGAAAATTTGGGGTTAATTATAGCTCTATTTATTTTACCTAATATAAAATATTCATTACTTCCCTTACTTCAAAAACTTAAAATAACTTATAACTAGCTATAGAATTTAAATAAAATTTGGAGCATATAAGAACATATAAAAATAAAAAAAACATTAAATACCTTTATTTAAATCAACCTGCAAATTATTGCTTGATTGTTTCAAGATATCACTTTTCAATGATTTATTTTGCAGTATAAGACTTTGATTCTCCTCTATGGGAAAAAAATACCTTTACAAATCCTTTAATATGTGAGGAGTCTCATAAAACAAAAAAAAATATAGTAATTATATATATATATATATATATATATATATATATATATATATATATATATATATATATTGTTTTATGAGACTCCAAAGTTTGGGTCCACAGGCTAAACATTTTTAAGCAATTCATATAACTAGATGGAATAATTATGAAGCCCTTGATTTTAGAAACAATTATCATTAATTTTAAACAGGTTTAAAATTAAACAGGTTAGTAGTATATAATTACAAAAAAATGTCGATTTATTTTAATTGTAAATTAAAAGTCGACTACTTAAAAAAAAAAAAAAAAAAACAATTATTCATATAAAGACATTTAATGATACATTACTTTGTTTTTTATAGTTAATACTTTTTATCTTTTGCTAGAAAGTTAAAATTAAAATTTATATATTTTTAATTTAATCTCAGTTAATATTTTTTATTATCATATATATTATAAAGATTATTTTTTTTTAAAAAGTTTAATAATCTCTTATTTCAAAAAACTCAGTCAGAAATTTCTAGTTAGGAAATGCTGGTTTGGATAAAAATAATGACTTAAGAAATCTAAATGATAAATAACCTATAAGATAGGGCATAGTGGTGGTTGTAAGCAATTTTCAAGTTCAATCCCTAACACTACTCTGGTGCTTACTAACATTACTTTATTGTCTATTAACTTAATTTTCTATCTGAATAAAAAAAAAACTACCTGTTAACTTCTTGATAACAATTTCTGTTTTTGTTCCATTTGAATATTTTAAAGCATCATTAACCATTCTAAATACAAAAAAGCATTTTTATAAATAACAAGATAATTAACATATAAAACTACTGTCAGCCTTTTAACACTTTTTATCTGTATTTATTAACAAAATGTATACTTTTATTATTAATCGTATTGTTATGCTTCACTTATTTATATATGTAAATAAATACATACATACATACATACATACATACATACATACATACATACATACATACATACATACATACATCATACATACATACATACATACATACATACATACATACATACATACATACATACATACATACATACATACATACATACATACATACATACATACATACATACATACATACATAACATTCTAGCTTTAGTTTGCAAACAAAAGCTCTTTTGTGCATAAATCAGACACAACAAATAAAAGTAATTAATAGCTAAAACACCTTTTTCTTTTTAGAAACTTGAATTATAATTATAAAATTGTTCACATTATTTCACAAACTGTTGTTTTATCAATATTTCTCTCACTATCTGCTTATATATAGATAAAATTTCCTTTTCCAAAATTTTTCTAGTATTATTGTAGTATTTAAAAACTGTTGATAAAATATGGTATAAGTTTTCACATAAAGAATTTTCACATGATAGCACTTTTAAAACAAGAATCTTCACATAAAGAAGTCATATATAGCTAAACTCATATTTAATTTTATTGTTAAACACCCATGAAAAAATTATAAAAAGAACACTTAACTACAATTATTTATCTAAGTTTTAATGTTTTATTTTAAAAAACTCTACAATTCAAACAAAGATATATTAAAACAAAAATACATTAAACAATAATATATTTAACACTAATATTACTGCCAGCTTATTTGGTAAATCTTTTGTCTAATTAACATATTTAGAGACATTTAAATTCATTATTCAATAATCATTAATAACTCCTAACCATGAGTCTTGAATGTAAATATACTACAATATTAAAGTCTTGTGCACTAATTTTAGTATCTATAAAATAACTAGGTTGAACCTCAAGACAAAAAAATTGAAATTCACAATACAAAAAATAAAATTTTGAGCATTTTTGTAATGTAAAATAAAAATCTTAAATCATAAAATAACTTTGAACATACTGATCAGATAGTAATGATCTCTGGTTTTGAGTATCATGCAAAACTGCATTTAAACGATTTATCTAAAAGATAAAAGAAATTATCAAAAATCAAAACTTCATAAAAATTTTAAAATCTTTGAATTTTTATAAAAACCTATAAGTATATATATTTTATAATCTTTATGTGTAAGAACCTCAGAAAGGTAAACTTGATTTTCAATTCGAAGCTCTTCAGAGTTTGTGTACTTCATATCAGTAACAATTTTTCTTAAAAAACAAAAAATATGCTAAGTAATTGGTAATTTATTGACTAAATATATAAAAACAATATAAAGAAGAATAAACCAGACAAAAACCTTGTTTCATTTTCTTTATTTCTTAAAGTTTCCTCTAATTTATAAATTTTTCGTCGTAAACTCATTACCACCTGGATTGAAAATTACAACATAAATATAAAAGTAAAAGTTTAGAATTTTAAAAAAAAGTTTTAAAACAGTTTTATTGCTTACCTCACTAGAACTTGGCTTTTTGGATGTCAGAGTTCTTCTTAAATCATTACTCTAAATAATGCAAAACACAATTAAACTAAAGTTAAAACAAATTTAGTGATATTATTTAAAACTAACTGATCCTACTAAATTAAAAGTTATAGTGACATTGGTTCAAATGCATAAAAATGATATTACCAGCAACATTGATAACAAAAACAACAACAAGATTAACAACAATACTTAATATTAAAAACAACAACAAACATTAACAACAACAACAATAACAACAACAACAACAACAACAATAAACATAACAATAACATTACCAACAACAACAAACTTCAACAACAAACATAATAACAACATTGACAACTACATGCTTAGTTAATTCTTAGTTAATTAATGCTTGTAAAAACATTTTACACTTAAATTACTACTAAGCAACCTTCCTAGACTGTTTATATCCAGTCAGACTCTCAACGCTCCTAACTAACTTTGTGATATTTCTATTGGTTAAAGAAAAAGTCTAATCTTGAATTAAAGTATCAGTATTAAAGCATCATTAATTTTTCAGAACTCAGTGTTCCAAACAAATTATTGAAATATATCTATTTTGCATAACAAGATCAGTGTTCTCAACAAATTACCATCTAGTAATTAGTACTAAGGCATCTCACTGCTCCATCTAGGAATAAGACCCATGTCAGTACTAGTAAATAGACAGTCTTTAGGGTCACCCTTGCAAGTTAGGTTTGCACTTTCATGATGAGTACCTATTTCTTTCTAGGAACATTGCAGTATATTGATCAATGAGTCAAATATTATTTTGTTTTTTTATATTAGTTTATTGACTAATGTTTCCAAAAAAAGGTTTTAAGCAGGGTAAAATGTAACTTAAATTAGGCCTATATAAAATCAAGTATACTAGTGTTAAAAGAAACACAGCCAATAAAATAAATCTACTAATTCCTCCAATAAATTTCTAGAAGAGGAACTGGCACCTTTACCTACATCTTTTACAGCATTTCCCAAATGCTGTTTGCACAGAATTAGAAACAACACCAATTGACTGTAGTAAATTTTTGTCTAAACTATGCATCAGGTTTAGACAAATTTAACTAGTAATTTATAGCTCAAATAACAGCTGATTATTTGGCTTCCCTGCTGTAGCTTGTAGGGTGTTGCTTACCAATGCCAGTCTGAATATCTCTTCCATTAGTGTTGCTGATTGTTTTAAGTATTTGTAAAGTATTATGAGAACCCAACATTAATGATTGTATAGAGTAATAGGGATTGCAGTTTTACCCAAGTGGTAATTATTACTTCAATACAGCACTGCAGTATAAACAGTGGGGCTACTTATTCTGTGACCTTGTTGCTTATAGAGTTGTGTTGCACCACTTACTATGAAAATTCTAATGAAGACAAAACTATTAATTAAATGAAATATCTCTCAATTATGTTTCTTTAGTCCCCATATAATTACGAATTCCAGATATTTTCTGGGGACATACCAATCCATAAAGTAGTTGGAACTTTTAGTTAAAATTTGCCAATCGTTACTAGTCCTCCCTATTTTTGGGCTTCACAGATCTTTATTTAAAACTGTGTCAGTCACTTTTATGCATATCCATGCAAAATAAAATTGATCAGAGACTAAAGTTTGCTGTATTGATAATTTAGGGCTAATTTATCACAATATTCTATAAACATAAGCTTTAGTGTTAATGGCATAAAACATTCTCTATGTGTATCTTTTGTAAGTTCATATCTTTGGATATTTGATTAATGTAATTCAAATGGCAAGTAATGGTAACTTTTTCATAGTAACAATGATATTATTTGATGGTTGTGGTTTTTGGACAATACACATTAGCATCAGCTGTGAATGTATTGACAGACTTATTTAGGGTATCCATGTTTTTTTGTTTTTTTTTTTTTAACATCTTCACTTCCAACAAGGCTGCAAGCAACCACTATAAGAGTTGGAAGTTACTGGAAGAGAAAAGACTAAATCTGTAGAGCAAGATAACGATTGACTGATGACTTAAAAGATTGGAAATTATATGAATCAGGAAAGCAAGATGAAGGAAGCGAATTCCAAAGAACTGATGTTCGAGGAAAAAAACTAGAAGAATAAGAGTTTTTGAAGCACTTAGGAACAGTCATGTTATGGGAACAAGATGTATTTTGGTGGTTATTAAAAATTTCTGATTGGCCTAACTTTGGCACGATTATAAACTTTTCTGATGCATATTCCATTGATTAAGATAGCTAGAAAATAAAGCATTAAGACAGGCAGGAGTATTTTCATAGCTGCAACCACATTTCTTGTTAATGTACATACTTTTCCTAGCTGCAACCACATTTCATGTTAATGTACATACTTTTGTATAAAAATACAATATACAGCTGCAATAATTAAAAACAAATTAGATTTTTTGAAATTAAAATTATTCAAAAAAAAATGCAACTACCTTTTTTGATAAATTTGTTTTAGTAGTTATAGTTTAGTAGTAAATAGTGTTTTGAGAGTTTTGATATAAGGCAGTAGTTGACTAGAGGTAGAATACTCAGCAACTAGAAGAATTGAGGCTCAAATTTAGCCTACATCTCTATCTACTCAACTTGTTTTGCCCCACAACAACATTGTTTAACAAGTATTATATTGTAGTTGAGGGTTAAAAAAGAATCTTAAATAAAACAAATAAAAGAGTTTTTTACTCTTGAGGTTTCCTCTGGAGCCTTGAGAAGGGGGGGGGGGTAGGAGTAATAACAAAAAAATAAATACACTCATCACACAAATAATTGGTTCAAAAGAAAAATGTAGGTAATTATTCTATTAATTAAATTCTGTCACTTAAAAATGCATAGAATAGCTTATGAACCTTATGCAAGTATCAAACTGTCATACTCTGCAATCACCAGCCAATTTATTAAATAAATACTATAAAACTCTTTATTATAAAAAATAAAAAAACAAACAAAAAAATTGCTTTCGGTAATTTATAAAGTATTACTTTTACATAGGAAAGCCAGAAAATTAAAACAAATTTTGATAAGATACATTTTTATCAAAATGTTATTCATTTTTAACAAAAGTGAATATTAAATACAATAAAAATGGGAAAAGGGAAACAAAGAGAGAGTATTTTTAAGATTAGGGGTATACTAAAAAAAGATAAGAAGAGAACTTTTGTAACAAACAATAATAAATGTATGGTTAACTTAAATCGTCATTTTTAATGTTAAGCAAGTATTTCTATATCCCATGGTGTTATAATAAAGTTTAAATTTTAAAAAATTTTATAAAAAATTGTTAACTTAACTTAATATACCTGTGTATCTGGATTAAGAAGTTCATCAATTTTCTTTGACTTGGCAATATTTTCTTCTTCTAAACGAAGGTTCTTAGCTTTCATTATATCGTTATCATTTTTTAATTGTTTCATTGTCTAAAAATTAAAGAACTTTGTTAAGGTTTAACCATAATCTATTTTCAAAAGAAAAAATAATTAATAAATAATAAGTTAAGTAATAAAAATTAGATGAGAAAAAATTATCCCATTTTTTAAAATAAATATAACTTTTTAATAATAAACAATTCTGTTTAAAAAAATGAGTATAAAAAGTTAAAACTTTTTATTTTTAAATTTTTTTTACATAAATAGTTATAAAAAGTTAAAACTTTTAAGTTTTTAATAATTACCTTTATTATAAATATAATTAAAAATTTTAAATAAAAGAATATATTATTTATCTAAATTTTTTTTTTCACTTAAATTATTTAATATAAAAGTTATTTTTAAAAATATTAATTTTTGAGTATTAAACATTACAGATCTATTCATAAGCATCTTCAGATGATGTTAAAAGATGTTTGATTAAATAATTAAATCACACACATAAATGCATTTTAAAATAATAAATTAACTTCTGGTGTACAGAAGAATTTAAGACACTTCAACAATTATTAAAATACAACTGCATTTCAAAATAATAAATTAACTTCTGGTGCACAGAAGCATTTAACATACTTAAATACAACAGCATTTCAAAATAACAACTTAAAATATTTTAATATGAATATTTAATATTAATATTTTGCATTTGTTGCAATTTTATATTTTTATCAAAAATATAGATAGGGCTTAAAAACATTAACTAATTTACAATTTATTAGCAAAGTATGACAAAAAAAAAAAAAAACAATCTAGAATATTGGTAGGGCAGTTTTATGGTAAGCAGTGCCAACCTGTGCAACTTTGTTTGATGCTTGTGTATTTAAATGCTTCAGCAACCAATTATATATTTTATAAAGGTAAATCGTTGTAGGTAATTTAAAAAGACATCTTTCATTGTTACTTGAAGATGCTTATGAATCAAGGCCTTCTTAAACAGGCCGCGACAGCTCATTTTCCGTAAAATTAGCGAAGGCCGACTTTTTTACGGAGAAGTATAGTTTCAATGAGGATTTTGGTTGTTTGATTTAAACTATAATAGTTAAACTCGTAAAATGCCTAATAAATGCTGCGTTTATGGTTGCTCCTCAAATTACAAATCAAAAGTAAAAGATAATGTTTATGTCACAATGTATAGATTCCCCTTTAAATGCGAGGATCGCGAGTTATGGATTAAAAAACTTCCAAATGCAAACTTTGTGTTTACAGATTATAAGCGAATTTGTGCTCAGCACTGGCCTAAAGATGCAGAATTAAAAAAAGTCAAAGGTGGTAGTTTTGTTTCAGTGCATCCTCCATCAGTCTTTAAAGGTATACCAGTGTCTTGTATTCCAATAGTGTCTAGAAAACGAGATGTCACTGGGTTATTATGCTCTGAAAGAAATATTTTACCTGATGAGTTTGAAAACTTCAAAAAAATGGACGTTATTCAATTTAATTCAATTGTAAAAAATTTGAAGTCAATACTAAATAACTGTGAAGAAAAATTTTATTTTGTTGAAAAAGAAAAAAATATATCTTTAATATCATATGAACATTGTGGACCAGTACCTAAGTTTTCAATATATATAACTTTAGAAGATTCTGGAGATATTTATTTTACTGGATATAGCCAACTTTTACAAATTAAACTGTCTTTTTTAAACAAAGGAGTTATTAAATATTATTCTCAACTGGAGAATGCTGTTAGTTATGTTATTAATAATGAAACAGATTCTAAGCGAGCAAGTTATATTAGGCATCAAGTAGCTTTATTAAATAAAACAAACAATACACCATTTTCTTTAGAGGACATTTCTGATGCATTACATCTTTATTCAAAATCTCGTTCAGTATATTTTGATCTCGTTGAGAAGCTTGTTTTGCCAAGTGTACGAGAGTTACAACAAATGACAAACAAAATAAATAAACTTGAAGATACTGAATATTTAAAGATGATATTTAAAGAACTTCAGGAATTTCAAAAATACTGCTTTATCTTGGCTGATGAGGTGTACATAAAACCTGGGCTACAGTACTCTGGTGGTAAGTTATTTTTAACTAATCAACTGGAAAGCCAAGATTTTTGTTTTTAGTTTTTTTTTTAAACTATTGTTTGAAAAGCTTAAATAATTGTAGAACTCTCAATTAGTTAAAATAAATCATTGAAAAAAAATATTTTTTAAGGTGTTAATTTTGTTTATTGATTATAGGTATTGTGTATGGTGAAGCAGAAAATATCCAAGAAAAAGCAAAAACAGTTTTAACACTAATGCTTCTTTGTCTTTTTGGTGGCCCAGGACTTGTTATAAAAGTTTTTCCAGTTTGTAAAGTTACAACAAATTTTCAAACAAGCATATTAGAAGAATTAAATCAACAAATCATAATTGCAGGTGGAAAGCCTCTTGGGTTAATAATGGATAACTGTCGAGTAAACCAAAAAACATTTCAATATTTTAATGCAAAATAAGTTCCAGCATACTATCTTTTAAATGACACTGTGCATATTTTAAAATGTATTCGAAATAATTGGATCACTGAAAAATTACAATGTTTAAAATATAGATTGCTAAATAATAACGATACTGTGCGACTTGCAGAATGGAAATTTATAATTCAACTTCATGCTGCAGATAGTGGAATAGTTAAGTTGTCACCCTTAACACAAAAAGCTGTGTCACCAAAACCAATTGAACGACAAAATGTTGGATTAGTTCTTAAAGTTTTTTGTGATGAAACAGTTGCAGCATTACGTGTAAAATTTCCTGAAGCTGAAGATACTGCACTTTTTATTGAAACAGTTGTTAAGTGGTGGCTTATTGTCAACAGTAAAGCAAAAGGTCTAGATATTAGATTAAATGATATTCGAAGAAAGCCTATTACTTCAGTCAATGATTGGCAAATAGATTTCTTAGAGAACCATATTTCGTATTTTGCTGAAAATTTGAAATGCGTAAATTCAAAATTAAGAGAGAAAAAGTTAACAATGGATACTGCAAGTGCTTTGCAAAAAACTTTTAAAAGATTAGCAAGCTGTGCCAAGTATTTGTTGAATTGCGGTGTATCTTATGTATTGTTAGGACATATGCAATCAGATGCACTAGAAAAACAGTTTGGGAAATATCGGCAAGGGTCAGGTGGCACATATCTGATAACTGTGCAAAATGTTATTCAAAAATTTAGAATCGACAAAACTAGAAAGTTGCTAGACAAGCATACAGATTTTACAATATTTCCTCCTGCTCACCACCACTGTGATAAGTGTGAACTTGATGTGGAGTTTAATATGTCAATATGTGAAAATTGTGAGGATCAGTTGCCAAATGAATGCAAACAAGGGCTTTTATATATTGCAGGTTTTATTGCTTACAAACTTTCAGAATTACATTCAATTTTAGAAGAAACAGACACCTTTGATATGTTTCAAAAATATGGAACTTTGATCAGTTCTTTGAACAGGGGAAGACTAAGAGAACCTTCTGACAATTTAGTCTACTTTGTTTTTTATTGTTTTTTTATATTTGAAGTGACACTTGTGAATAAAGTTTCACCATTGCTGTGCAAGAAAGGATTAATTGACATTTTTATTAACTGCAATAGTAAATTTCAATTGCTTGTTCATAGTGTTAAAAAAGTTTGCTGCATTTTGGCAAACATTTTAAACAATTATTGTAAAAAACACTCTGAAGATTTTGGGAAGGAATGTTTAATAAAACAAGCAAAACTTTCAACTTCAAAATAAAATACTTTGAGTCAAAAAAGTCAAAATAATTTTAATAAAATAAAGTTAATATATTTGTTTGTTTTTATCAAAAAATTTATTATTTGTATTACAAGTGTTAAACAGCTAAAATAAACATATAGTTATAAAAACAAGATTTAGTCATTTTTAGCTAAACTCCTTAAATTTTTATTGTAATTAACTTATTTCTAAACGTAAAAAAAATTCCAACAATATTTGCTTTCGAAATTCAATCAAAATGTTTTGTCCTAATAAAGCTCTTTATTTGTTTCTGAAGTTTGTTTACAAAAGCAAAGATAAAAAATAATTTTAACCGTAAAAAAGTCGGCCTTTGCTAATTTTACGGAAAATGAGCTGTCGCGGCCTGTTTAAGTAGGCCTTGTTATGAATAGATTTGTAATGTTAAATATTTAATGATTTGTAATGTTAAATATTTAATGATTTGTAATGTTAAATATTTAATGATTTGTAATGTTAAATATTTAATGATTTGTAATGTTAAATATTTAATGATTTGTAATGTTAAATATTTAATGATTTGTAATGTTAAATATTTAATGATTTGTAATGTTAAATATTTAATGATTTGTAATGTTAAATATTTAATGATTTGTAATGTTAAATATTTAATGATTTGTAATGTTAAATATTTAATGATTTGTAATGTTAAATATTTAATGATTTGTAATGTTAAATATTTAATGATTTGTAATGTTAAATATTTAATGATTTGTAATGTTAAATATTTAATGATTTGTAATGTTAAATATTTAATGATTTGTAATGTTAAATATTTAATGATTTGTAATGTTAAATATTTAATGATTTGTAATGTTAAATATTTAATGATTTGTAATGTTAAATATTTAATGATTTGTAATGTTAAATATTTAATGATTTGTAATGTTAAATATTTAATGATTTGTAATGTTAAATATTTAATGATTTGTAATGTTAAATATTTAATGATTTGTAATGTTAAATATTTAATGATTTGTAATGTTAAATATTTAATGATTTGTAATGTTAAATATTTAATGATTTGTAATGTTAAATATTTAATAACAATAATAGTTTAAATAACAAGATTTAATAAAATTAATATAAGAATTATTATTTTTAATTATTAAATTAATACAACTATAAAAATTTTAATATAAGAACAATATTAATTTTAAAAACAATATTAAACAGCAGTTGAGAAAGTTACACCACAATTTAGGCGCAAAAAATAGACTTATATAACTTATATTTAAGTATATCATTTTGGTTACAGAAAAAACAGTTTTAGCTTGAAACATTTAAGTTGACAAGACTAATTGTTAAATTGCCTCATTGTCAAACAGTTGATGGATAGATTTTGTATATAACTAGATATAAGAGCACCCATTGCTTACAATTATTTTCATATAGGGATGGATTAATGCATTGTAGCGCCTATTGCTTACATTAATTTCCATACAGGGATGGATTAACTCATAGTAACACCCATTGCTTATTAATTTTCATACGAATGGATTAGAGTATGAAAAGTATGGACTGATTAGTAGCCACAAACCTTTTTCAACACTAAGACAGGTAAAAAATATATTACTGTGCTAATAAAAGCTTAAAAAAAATCATTATTTAAAGATCTCAACCGTTGCTGGTTGATCCAGCAATGGTTTTATAAACTGTTAATCATAAACATTTTTGTAATTAGATGTAAAACCTTTGATCTAACAGTAGTTTTTTGTTCCATATACAGTTTATAACCATATTCAAAGAACTTACAAGAGTTTTCATGATAACTAACATTTTTTTTAAATTAGTTAAATCCTGAATAAATATATTTGAGAAGGTTATCCATGCATTTAACAATGTTTTTTAATTGGTGGTAAAACTTTAATTTTACTATAGAAATCTACAGATTAATTCAACCATCTTAAGTAAAAACTTTAGCTAATTTTGACTTACACTTTTCCATACAGTTGCTGTCATAACAGTTTGTGAAAATTGCAAAGAAGACTTTTTTTGCAAAGAAGACAATATTTAACTTGTTTCAATTAAACTTTTTGGATTATCATTACTCCTCTGAATGACAGAAAAAAAGAGTTTTATAATTTTTCTGGCATTTTAAGTGCTTTTGTTAAAATAATTGTCATAGCTTTTTAAGTACTACATTCTCCACAATGCCTCACTTATGTTCTTTGGTGTAACAAGCAACATCTTCTGATACTTTGATAGAACAAATACTACATACTGGTCAATTAGCAATACTTTGTCTTGTAGTTTTTGAAAGATAATAAGTTTGACATAACAATGAATCTTAGCAATGTTTCAAATATAACCAAAAAAGATACAATATATAACAAAAATAACAAAAAGTTGTATTGAGCAATAATCTAAATTAAATTAATTTTGTAAAAATAATTTAACTTTAAAAAGTCAGTTAATTCAAATGTAATATAATAGTTATGGGTTATCATAAAATTTAGAAACTCTATAGAGTGTGGAATTTCCGGAATAAATTGCTTTTGGGAAGAAACTCTGCAAGCCTTTTAAATAAAAGATTGTCATGCAAGAAGATACTCCAAAAAAGGAACAGGAAGAACAAGATGAGGATTTTGCATGACCATTATTCAAAATAACAAGACAAGAGATCAACAAATATCTTTAAGATTTTAACATATCTCCTATAAAATCTTATTCAAAATCTTTAAAACATATGCCCTCAGAAGGAAAGCAAATAGTCACACGCGTCCACAAAATGATAAAGAACATAACTAGAAAAATTAAAAGTCATGTCAATATTTCTTCAGAAAAAATGTGTGATGAAACAAATGGTATCAAAAAGAATGATAAAGCGTTTATGAAACTATAGATAAAAGAGAAAAATCTACAAAACTAGTTTGTTCCTACAAAAGTACTTTTGTTCAACTTCTCACACAACTCCCCTGAGGTAAATATTAGAGGTACAAAATAACTTTGCAATAAAGAATATCAAAGGCCTTTTTGACAAAAAAGTATTGTTAGCTATTTCTCGATTGTATAAAGGTAAAGTTTTACCTTTATACAATTGAGATAATATTTTTTGAATTTTTTTTTTAATATCAATTCACTTCCTCAAGGCTGAGAAAATGACTATAGTCAAAGAGGCTACTTTAATTGTGGATACAACCTTCTCTCAACTCTATTACTTCGAAACACAAATTTTGACAAACAAGGCCCCTACGCCAAAAATCAAGTTAAGCATGGTACTACCAGGGATGTGGTGGGGATCAAACTTGGAACTTCTCGCTTATGAAGCAAGCGCTCTACCATTACACCACTACCGCAGAACATGTAAAAGATTCGATTGAAACATTTTATGACTTTTATGATTTTTGTCCAACTATTCCCGGAAAAAAAAATGTTATGTAAGTATTAGAAAGAACATCCATAAACAAAAAATAAACCTTTATGTAATTTAAAAGAGCTATCAATCAAGAAATTCAAAACTCATAATTAGCTCCATTTGCAGACACTTACTACACGATAATTCACAAATTTAAAATGAAACAAGATGTATTTCAATCTTATGCTGTTACTTTAGGAGGTTATGTAATGGTAGTCTATGATGATAAGTGGTGAATTGGCATCATAACTGAAATCAACATGGAAGAAGGTGAGGCTTAACTTCCTCCACCTAAAAGATGCATCTGAATACTTTAACTGGATTTGATGAGACTATTGTTTTATTGAAAAAAATGATCTGTTTCACAAGCTTGCTCTAGTTTTAAAAATAACTATATGTTTGAAAAAGCTAAAATGAAAGAAGTGCAAGCAAAATAGCAACCATATTGCTACAACTACTACAACAGTTACAACAATCAAAATAACTTCTATCTTCAATACGTTAAGAAATCTTGTATACTTATCAATCAATATCTAAAGCATTTTTAAATAACCTTTTGTTTTTTTATTTATTTTTATTGTATTTAAAACTATTTTTCACTAAATCCTTAAAAGTTGTATATATTTTTAATTATAGTTTTGTTCAGTTGCTTTTCCGGTTAAATTTTCAAAGTAAGATCATAAGAAAAAATAATGATTTATAAAAAAAAAAATATTTATAATGTATAATGTATTTTGAGATATTTAACTCCAAATTTGAGTTAGATAAGTTAGTTGTTTTCCTAATTATTAAGCATGTTTTCTTCACATTACAGCAATTTATTTATTAAGCATGTTTTCTTCACATTACAGCAATCTAATTATTAAGCATGTTTTCTTCGTGTTACAGCAATCTAATTATTAAGCATGTTTTCTTCACATTACAGCAATCTATTTATTAAGCATGTTTTCTTCACATTACAGCAATCTAATTATTAAGCATGTTTTCTTCACATTACAGAAATCTAATTATTAAGCATGTTTTCTTCACGTTACAGCAATCTAATTATTAAGCATGTTTTCTTCACATTATAGCAATCTATTTATTAGGCATGTTTTCTTCGCATTACAGTAATCTAATTATTAAGCATGTTTTCTTCACATTACAGCAATCAAAATGCATTTTTTGAATTCCGCATCAAAAAAGCATAAAATAAAAGTGCTTATTTTCATAATCTTTTCATTATTTTTTACTTTTTTAAGGTAAACAGTTTTTTTTTAAATCGCATAAAGAAAATCTTAGCAATCTTGGGAAAACAGATCAAAATTTTGTAGTATCTTGTACAAAATTTTGTAGTATCTAACCCCTCAAAATTTTGTAGTATCTTGTAAACCCCTCAACATTTTTGACTGATATTTTGCATGCATATTTTTTTTTTTATAAAAAAGAAGTGTCAAAATTTGAAACAAAAAGAAAGACATATAGTTTAATTAGACTGAATGGTAATATCATTCAGTTTTACATTTAGTTATACATTATATCAGATATAATGTATAACTAACCTAGGATTAATCCTAGGGTAGTTACACATTAGTGGCATTTCTTAGATATTAGTCGCTTTTTCAAAATTAACTTGCTTATTCAAATTAATTTGACATATTAATGGTGCATTTTATGCATTGAGTTATAACTCTAATTTTAATGTTTCTTTTGAAAATAATTTTCCTAGTAAATTTTTAGTGTCTTTTAAAAAAGCTGTCAAAAGTACAGCCATTTTAACAACACATTTAAGAAACATCGCCTTAACTAGGGTTCAATGTGTCAGTAATCATCAAACTTTATAAGTTTGTCAAGCATGTAACATTAGGTTTTACTTTATTAATTTCACATCAATGAACAATATGTTATAATTTTGAAGAACTCAAAATCCCATTGGTCAAAATGTCAGGTGATTTTTATAACTCAATCAGACAATCTAAGGTTTTAGTCAGACAATGTCTAACCAACAAATTGACCTTTTTTTAATAATTTTTTATTCCGTATTATTAGTAAATTTTCAAAATGAAGAAAATTCTACAATGATGTCAGATACTGATACAAAGTATAAGGAGAAGGTGAGCTTCAACTTAAATGACAAGTTTAGTCTTCATTGATACACATTTATTATTTAGTTTTAATCAAAAATTTTAGCTCAAACATTTAGTTTTTTTTAACATTTTCTTTAATAGAAACACGTTTGGAGGTACTCTCATTAACATAAATCAATAGAATAAAATGTCAGCATAAGTCAACAGAATAAAATATTACCATAAGTCAATAGCTTACTATTCACATTTTTTTTTGATTGTCTAGTATATCAACTAAGTAATAGTATATCAACTAAGTAATAGTATACCAACTAAGTAATATCAAACTAAGTTAAACAGCAATATCAACTAAGCTTAGTTGTTGCTCACAGTAATATCAAAACTAAGCTTAGTTGTTGCTCACAGCAATATCAACTAAGCTTAGTTGTTGCTCACAACAATATCAACTAAGCTTAGTTGTTGCTCACAGCAATATCAACTAAGCTTAGTTGTTGCTCACAGCAATATCAACTAAGCTTAGTTGTTGCTCACAGCAATATCAACTAAGCTTAGTTGTTGCTCACAATTATTCTTTTTGATTATTGTTTTACTACTAAGCTTTTATAAATTAAAAAGAAAAAAAAATTGTAATTACAAAATAGTCATAACTTCATTATACAAATTAAGAGTAATCAAACTGTTTTAAATAACCATTAAAGATAGATGGTGTTTTGAAGGTATGTAGAGTTTTGTCAAAGATGGCAGCAAAACTTAAATAAATTACCTTATCTCAAAAGAAAAAACATACATTTTTTAGTATTTGTATCTCATCATAATATGTTTCTGCATCTTTGTAAACAGGACCAGTGCCTCCAACTCGACTCGTTGCTGTTAAAAAAATAAAATTGACATTGTTTATTAGAAATAATTTTTAAGACATTATTGTTAAATACTGTTAAATGTGTATACTTTTTAGTCTTACCACTAAGAGGCCTGTTTTGTTTTCCAGTTTTCTAAAAGTATAATTTTAAAAAGGTTTATTTTATATGCTTAAATTTAAATCACTGCAACATAAAAAAAAAGTACTGCAATATGAATTAAAAGCATTGCAACACGAATTAAAAAAAAAATTTAAACTGCAAATTAAATTCACCATTCCCAATGCTTCTTTAAGATATAAACTTGCAGAGGATTGGGAACCACCTTTATTTAGCTTTAATGAGTTCATTGCAGAGCTCTCCATACTTAATCCTAAAATAAAACATTTAATCGTTGAAGAAAAAAGACAACTATTATTTCTGGAAAAGTGACACAAAACAAACTTGTTATCTTTAAAGTCTTTTCTAGGAGGCCATTTACAAAACAGCAAGATGCTGAAGAAATATATTTTTATTGAATCACTATCTTTAGCCTTTCCTCAACCAAATATCCCAAGAACATGGAAACTCATGTTTTAATTTTTAATTTAAAATTTAATTTACCGTAAATTTACTTTCTCCTTGCCTTTGTCTAGTAATAAAACATCATACAAGGTAACAGGACACATTACATTTTATAAGTAATATTTTAGTTTTATAAGTAATGTCTTAACAGGAACTAAACCAGGGTATATTACTAAACAAATTACTTAATCAAACTACTGTAACTGCTAATTATATAAAATGTTACAATAAACTACTGGAATAATAAGTTTAATCACCTGTTCCATTCTGAATTGCGTTTACCCAAACTTCTCTTCCCGTCTTTTTTGGTACTTTTTTAGATTTAGAAGATGATCCATAGGGTAAACCTGTAATAACAAATAAACCATTATAACAAAAAAAAAAATACATGTATGTAATCCATCAGATTAAAATGATTTGAATTGCACAAAATTAAAAAAAATTCATTTATAAAAAATACCTGGAGGCGGACAACTTAACAATTAAACTATAATCAATTTTTTTTTGTCAATCATTTATATGAATGGATTTTAATGCATTACTTTTAAATTGCATAACTAAGAACAATTTGTTTAAATTGTGTAACTATAAACAATTTGTTTAGAGACAAAATTAAATTTAAAAAAATAAAAATAAAAAATACTACGCTTAAATTAAAATGACATAAAGTAAAACTAAATAACACTATGTAACACAACTTTTGTCCTTCAAATTAAAGTGTTATATTTCAGAACATACTTACTTTAACCTTAGCCTAAGAGAGTTTCAGGAAAATATCTTAGAAATACTTAAAAAAAGCAAACTCACAGTCAAAAGCAGTGAAAAAAAAAGGGGGCCTAACTTGATATAAAGTGGTGACATAAGCACTTTCTGAGGTTTCCATTTCATTTCTTTGATCTATTGCTTTTGTTACCAAAGAACTCAGTCTGTTGTAGTTAACCCTTTCCATGATCATTGTCACAATTGCTCAGAGGAAAATAAAACAAAAAATTTTCATGAAACCTCCTTGAAGGTCTATGAGGAATGACACTTTTAAAATATTTGATTGTCTTATATACCAGTAGCGTAGAGTGGAAAATGTATGTTAATGCTTTCTCTGATCTACAACTTGCATATTTTTATCCAAAAATAATTTTATTGTTTAGTTCATATTGTTGTCCCAGCCACAGAAGCTAAGTTTTGTGGAGAAACAGCTATTTTCTATTTGTTTTTGGCAGAACACAATTTCAATCCAAGGACAAAACAAAAATAAAAACTCGTTACATAGTTTAATAATCGAAGGGCTAATATAAGTAATTGCAAATTCTGATATCTGAAAATATTTATGGTCTTCAGTTAAACCTGTAAACTCTGTTATAATTATAAAATTCAATAATTAGTATTCAAAGTTTTTGCTTGGTAAAATTATTTGATTTTAAAATTAACAAATATTTCCATTAGTAGGCGTTTGACCTGTTTTTAAAAGTATGTGTCTGTAAAAGTTCTTTGAGTTTTTAATATCATTTATACATCTGTGGTACTTTTTCTAGATACATTTCTATTTCGATTAATGTTTGGAATATAACACTTTTTTTAATTTTTATTTTAATTTATAATACCTAGATTAACTGTTCTTTAAAAAATAACAGTTAATCTTTTTTTTTTGCTAACAAAATTAAGTTAACTTGTCCATAAAAAATTCCATAAAAACTTCATAAAAAGTTTCCATTAAGAGCTAACAGTTTTCCAAAGTAATAGAAAAACTGATATAAAAAAATGACAAAACCTTTTTTAATGCTTTCTTTGATTGGGTTTGTATTTATCATATATAAATGTATGCATGTTTAACAAAAGAATTAATAAAAGCTTACCTTTTTTGGGTACTTTGGGAACTTTTTCTTTGACTGAGAAAACAAAAGAAATTTAGTTGACAAAATATTTTAATATAAACAGTTAAAATTAAACTTTTAAAAATATAAACTTTTAAAATTAAAAAAAAAAAGAGTAATATATTTAAAATATTTTAAGACAACAGGAATTATAATAATTGAATTATTTTCTAGCTCTATTTCTATATTTTAAAAATATAAAAAAGTAGAATATAAGAAATTGCATGACCAAAAATTTATATGCTTTTTGAATAGTGATATCTTTTATTTGTTATCAGTTTCCCTCTCTTCATAAATAGTTTTGCTTTGACTTTTTGATTGGCTTTTTCTTAGATCTTGCTAGTGTTGTTGATCTTGGCAAATTTTATTTCATAGAAACTTGATCAAAACTGACTCACAATTTTCTCAATATCTGACTCAAATAGTTGAGTAAAGCATTTAATTTTTAACTCAGTTTCATGAAAACTTATACAACTTTTTTTTTTCTTTTTACAATGCATTGTTGCAACTTGACTAAAAAAAAAAAGGGCATAATTTAAAAAACCAGCTTAAGTATAACAACAGTGTTCCATACAAAAACATATTAGAGATTTATATAGATAAAAAATGGAATCAGGAGCAAGATGATGTAGTTAATAAGGAGTTAAATGGGGTGGTATAGTACTTGGCTCACAATTACAAAGTTCCAAGTTCGAATCCACCCTACGCCTACTCTAAAAGTCTGGACTCAATTTGTTTCTCAAAAAAATCATTATGAAAAAAAAGGAGCACTTCGATTGTCCTCTAGAGTTATAGGAGGTAAATTTAATGAAAAAAAAATTAAAAAATGCAAGTATGATAATTAGAGGCAACCTTAGCAGATGCTAATTTTGTCTTAGATTGGATATATGATTTTTATGAGAGGTCAGTAGTAAAAGATACCACCAGTAAAAAATACAGAGTACAGAGAAAAGATTTCATTCAAGACCAGTTACCTGGTCTGAGCAATCAAAAAGTTTAAAATACAGCTGCTTTAGAGATAATATTGTCAGGGAGATTATTAATAGAAAAAAGAGAAACTAGAAAAAATACTTTCAGGGAGATCATTAATAGAAATGATGAATAAAGATAGATATAAGGAACCAAGTACAAGTTACTTGTACTTGGTTCCTTATATCTATCTTTATATCTTATCTAGTATAAAACCTTATGATACTTAAGAGATAACTAGAAACGAAGTTTAAATTTATCCATTAACAACAACATTAGAAAGAAGAAATTTAAAAATTTTGAAAACTTTTGCATTTATACGATATAAAGAAAACTTATGTAGAAGACTGAAGAATGAAAACTTTATCAAAAGTCTTTGATATGTCAGTATCAATCCTTGCCCCACTGCATCAATCTAACACTCAATAAAACTTTTCTGTTCTATGAAATTTAACAAATCAGTATTAGAACAAGAGAATCAAAAACCATATTGATAGAAGCTAAAGAAGCTTTCTCCTACTTTCTGCAACTTTAGATCATTGTCATTGTTTTCATATTTTTTACAAAAAAAAATCTCCAAATAATACCTTTTACCTTTAGCAAATACTTATCCAATGCGGCACTAAAGACTAGTTCAAAACAATTTTGACTAGTTCAAAACAATTTGAAATCACTAAATCTAGATGATGACTAGACACTTAAAATAGCCAAACACATTAAAAAATATTTATTAGTGTATTTATTGTGAACTAATCTCTTTAACAATACAATTTGTTGGTAACCATTTATTTTTTTACAAAAAAATTTAATGCTTAAAATAACCAAATTTATCTTAGAACTAAACTGAAAATAATTCTGTGTTAAAATTAACTGGGGGAATAAAAGCTAAAAAAAAATTAATGCTTAAAATAACAACAAAAAAACTCAACTAAAAAGAATTTTATGTTTAAAATCACTAAATGAATGAAAACTAAACTAAAATAAAAAACCCCTGAAGATATAGAATATTTTCAAAAAAGTAAAAAAATAACTCAAGTACCTAAACTTCTGTTAGATTCCAGTACAAAATCATCTGGAATACTTCTCTAAATACAAAGTTATAAAAAATTGTGAGATTTATTTCTACATAAAAAAATTTAAATTAAAATAGGGATTTAAAGGAGCTTATACATATAAAATATTACTTACTAATGAAATAACTGAGGCAAGCGAGATTTGATCTGAGTCCTAAAATATAATATATATCAGTATTATTAAATTGGTTAAAAACTTTATTCTAGCACTGAGTATTAAAATATATTATCAATTGCTATAATTTCAAAGCTATAAACTTTTTAATGATGTTAATAATTTCACTTAATTAATTAATCAAAATTAAAACCAACACACAAATTACTGTAAATTAAAAGCATATGTGCAAAACAAATGGTTACTTGGTTATTTATAACAACATAAGTGCAAAATAGCATGATTAAAAATAAACTTGATACAAAAAACACCTTAAACACCTATTTGTATAAGTTCTACCCTGCATATTTTTTTTGGGTCTAAACATTTGTATAGCATAACTAAAAATAAACATAAGTACAGATAACAGAAAACTTCAAAAACTAGATTGAGTTCATATATATTTAGGTTTGAGATGAATACTAAAACAAGCAACTATAATTGCAAATTAAAATATATATTGAAATTAAGTACGCTAGAATATTTTTAGTTACTTTTTTTAATTGATCACTTTTACTTAAGCTACAATCAGTTGTCACTTTTTAACAATACTTCAGTTTGATGACCTCTTTCCGAAGGTATAAGTCTTTTAAGGTGCATTATTTTAAAAAATCATAAATTACTAATTTAAAACTTTCTAAATTTTCAATAGAAAACTAGCTTTGATTCATAAACTAGTTTTGAAAGTTTCAAAAATACAGTCAATAGAGTTTGTTTTTTTTATTTTAAATCTGATGGTAATATCTTATTTTATTGCTGCATAATAAAAAAAAAATTCATTTGATAAAAACTAAATAATAATATTAGTAAATAATTAATAGGATAATAATCTATAAGTTTTTCATTCCAATTTTAACTAATAGATAGATCTATTTTTATTTATAATAGTTTTCTTTTGTAAAGTGGTTTACTCCTTTTTTTATTGTTCACCCAATAAAAAAGAACTATTTCAATTTTTTCTCATTGATTGAAATGGTGTCCAACTTTAGTTGAAAAAAATATAAATCCATTCGAAAATAGCTTTTTGTAGAACTATGTTGACATATTTTTTTAGAAAACAAAATTAAATCTATTGAAAAAAGCTCCCACTAAAAAACGCACACACACAAACACACACACACACACATAAAGCTCTCACCCCACTGAGGTTTATTTGGCCTGATTTTTTGGCAAAAAGTTTTTTTTTTTTAAGTATAAAAAATAATACTTTTTTAACGGCATCATGAAGTAAACCCTTCAAAGTATAAATAAACATAGTCTATTTTTAAATTAATGGCTTATTTTGTTTATACTATGCACTCAAAATGAGAATACTTTTTATCGCAGCTCAGTTAACAGTGAATAAGTGTATAGCAACTATTTTTATTTACTGTAAAAAGTTATTTTATATAATTAAGCTGAAATATTGCATTACTTTATTAATTGTATAAAAGCAAATAACACATATATTATATCTTCTTTCAGAGCTTTTTTTTAAATTTTAAATTGACTTGAAAAGTCTCCATATTTCTCCAAAATGTTTTTTTCAGGTCTTTAGTTGGTGTTAAGCAATATTTTCAAATTTTCAAAACTTGCCCATAGTTGCCCTTATTTAATATACAGCCCTCGGAATTAGAAAAAATAAGGTCAGCATTAGTTCCGCAGAAAAAAGGTTTGACCATAAAACATAGAAACAAGGTTGGGGATTTTTCACCAACCTCAAACACTTCTAGGTCGACAGTTAGGTTGGCATTGTCGCATGCTGACCCTAATTCCAAAGTTGAATATATATATTTATTTTTAGTAATATATTGTTTCAAACATAAGGATTTAATGTGTGGCTAGAAAAGAATATAAAAAAGAAGATAAAAAAATAAGAAAAACTAAAATGTATATGATCACGCCATTCAAATTGTTAGAAATGGTCAAACAGAAGTTAGTACCAATAATATTCAAAAGAAAAATTTGTCGTTTGGCAGTTTTTTTTGAACAAAAATTAGCAAAATGTCAAAAAACAACTCAGATTCAATTTTCTTTAAAATATCAAAATTAAATTGAATCTATCGTTTTCCTCTTATTTTTAAAACTTAGCAATAAAACTGTATAGCTCAAATATAGACATGTCAGATTACACAATGTTACAAAGGTCTTGCCAACCCAGATTTTTCAATGTTTATTCATGACTTTTTTTTTTCCCACTTAATTCAAAAATCACAACAACAGTTTTTTTATTTATGGTTAATTTAATATTTTCTTGATATAAGCACAAATTTTCTTTAAGGGGCTTATTACATGAATGAAAGTCGGCCTGGGCTAAGTTTCAGCCCACTTAACTGGGCTAAAATTTTATTCCACCTTAATATCCTAATTCATATAAATTACAATCATATGATGACCAAGTTAAATTTCCCCCTAGATAAATATCTTAGCTCATTTTGTGATACCAAGCAAGGATTTTCAGCCCTGGCATATTACATTTATTATTATAAAATTAAAGATGGCTACACTGAAGGCATTTAACAAAACAGAGCACAAGGTTCTAAGCTCCTCAATAATTTCTCTCCTATATAATTAGTAATTGTTTTCTGTTTATATTAACTTCAGGGTTATTAGAAGAGTAAATACTGTGTGGGTCATTTGGCCTCTCCAATGCATCACTGTGATGTTTTTCAATTTATTGCTCTGCCTTCTCTTCATTTAAGTCATAGGTTGTTTTTTTTTTTTGTGAAAATTATGAAGAACAAAACAAATATAAATAACAATAGGAACTGTTTCTCCATCTTGCTTTTAATCTGCCAAATTCACATTCCACCTGGTTTCATACAGAGCATAACATGTTGTGTAACATGAGCGTAACATTTAACTGACTCATTATTAAATAATGAGTCAGTTAAATGTTACGCTAATAATGATTATTTGAACAACTTTAAAAGTCTTTAATGCAAAAACTTATTAATAAGTAGGCTGAGTCTCCTATTAAGTAGTTAGAAATTAAATGATAGCCATGTAAAATGTTTGCAATGGTGTCCCTTCAATAATTTTTTATTGATAGTAAAACTTGTAAACATCTTTGCACCATGATGTACAGTAGGGTGTCCCAAAAAACAACATTTTTGAAAATAATATAAAAATTTCAAAAATAATATTCATTTTGAAAAAATTTTATAAAACAACATAAAAAATGTATTTTTTTCATTTTTTGTTAAAAAACATAATTTTTTACATAATAACACCAAAAATAACATTTTTTTTTTAAATATATTTTATAAAAACTTCAAAAATATTATTTTTGAAGTTTTTATATAATTTCGCTTCATTTGAGTACCAGGTTGACATATTTTTAAAAAACTTTTTTTTTGTAAATATTAGGGACCCATTAAATATTAGAGGGTCTTGAGGGACCCCTTAAAATATTTTTTATTCAAAAAAATTTTAAACATAGTGTTTTTGTATTAGATAGAACACATTTAGGGGGTGGAAGCAAATTATTTTCAAAAATGTTGTTTTTTGGGACACCCTAATGTACAGATCCTGGCCATTTGAATTCAACATCAAAAAAGCATTCTTTACTATAAGCATACTGCTTGTACATTTAATGAAAAATAACGCTTATAACAAAACTAGTCTTGAGCATTTTTAATAGGACACTTTAGTTGGATAAGAGTGCTATCAATGCATTTAAAGGCTTGTATCAAGCCAAATTTTAAATCAAACTAAGAAGCTAGAGTTTTCATATCCTCCTTATTTTTAGGTAAACCTAAATATTTAGACCCAACATTATTATTAATGACATTGCATACAACTTTTACAGTTTTTGAAACAAAACATTGATGAATGCCAAAAACACAATAATTTGGGCAGTTAGGTTTAGGACTAACATCAACAACTACAATAGAAGCTCAAAAAAACACTCTTTTTTTTATCATTCGGAAATTTCTTTTATAGCATTTTTTAGGGACTTCTGTGCTTATTATACTTTACCACCATAAATCAGTTATTTCTTTTTACACCTATTGAATTTCTGTTTATAAGTCTTTGTCCTTGACCTTAGTCTTGATCCAGGTCTTGTAAAAACTTTCAAAGTCTTGGTCTTAGACTGATTTTGGTCTCGGTCTTGAGTTTAAATGTCTTTGTCTTTACTGTCTTGACTACATGTCTATTCATATAAAATATCTCTGTTTATATGAATAGACATGTTGCAGTAACTTTTATTACTGCAACATGTCTATTCATATAAACAGATTTATTTACCAGGTTAAAACTAATAATAAAAAAATGGATGAAAACGGCTATGCAAAAGAAAAATTTTTCAACATGGTACTGAGCAGTAATTTCATCCGTGAGTCATTAGTCTGATTTTACTCATGTAATCAGCCACTAGGTCAGCATATTGTATGTTGCAGAAGATATTTTCAACACAGTACAGAGTTATAGTATTAACTAAAAAGAAGGCTGACTTTCAACCATGTAATCAGCTCTTAGACCAGTATATTGTAACAATTTATTCTATTATTGCACAGACAATTACAGTTTTTATATATTAAAAGGGGTTTAGGAAGTACGATATAAGTAAAAACAAAAAGAAACAATATAATTTTTTACTATAAAAAATTTTTAAACTTAAAATTACAATAAAATTTTTTACTATAAAATCTTTCCACAAGATTAGAAATGCTTGATGATAATGATTTTCTTGAGTGCATACTTTCATCTTTTCTGACATGAGACCATATCTAAACTCCCATTACTGCAGAACCCTATTGTCATTTATATCTACTCAAAATTTTGCAATGTCCTGATGAAATCTCTCATCATCCATGTTTTCAGGGAAGAAATCTTGGTATGAATGCAATATATGAACCTTTATGGACACATCACAACCCAGTTTCTAGAACTTTCAATAAGCTTTGCAACCACATGTTTGTAATTAGGGCCCTTGCCATTTCCTAAGAATCCATGACCTACACCATGAAATGCACAACAATCTTTATTTTCAACTTTTGTTACTTGCTGAGTCTTGAGATGGAGTATTCAAAACATCTAAAAACAATAAAAGAAAGAAAAAATAATATATAGTAACTAATATATGCATAGTAAACACTTTATGTTTAATTAAACTAAATGTAAGATTTTTAGAGAGTATGATGACCAGTATACTTACAATTTTTGATGGTTGAGGTACTGGTAGGCTATCATCATGTGGGACAGGTACTGTAGATGATGGTATGTTTAGATATTGAATAGCTTGTCTCCATTTAGCTTTTCTGTACTTTGTAATATCACCCATACAAAAGTAACAATCATTGTGATGGTTTTTTGGCTTTCTTTGTTTTCTGGGAACAACAAAGACACTCTTTTTTTTTATCTCATAACCTGAACATTCTGAAATATTTTGATCACTGTACATTCCAAAATATTTTGTGTATACAATATGGTATTTTTCATGATCTAATGAAATACGTGCTTTTTGCCAATGTAATATCTACTTAGCAAAACATATCATAAGAATTTTTATACTCTGTAGTAGCCATTAAGATAAGAATAGAACTTACCCAGTTGAAACAATTATGTATAAAATACATATTAGATAAATATTCAGAACAGCTTAAAATGTTTTTAAAACAAACTAATTTGTTCTTGAGTGCAAACTTGATAAGAGTATTTGATATCAAGCATACAAAATATTTTTTATACAATTTATAAAAGATTTTACATAATCATGATGACCTTTTATAAAATGTATAAAATCTTTTATAAAACGTATAAAAAATGTTTTGATGAATTTTCCATGATGATCATGGAAACAGAAAACTTCATATTTAAAATATTGATACCATATTTTCCTGTCTACATTTTGTGTAATATTATGTCTTGTAACCCACTACCTTTCTTTCCTAATTCATGTTTAGGCTACAAGAAAAGCACAAAAACAACTTTAAAAAATAATATACTTTCAACTTTTCATGGTTATAATTCTGACACCCTTTATCTTCTATCCAAAAAAATCAAATTATATAATCTTGTTCATCTATTAAATTATCTATTTGTATAGAAAAAAGTAAAGATACCTCACTCATTTTCTAATTTTTTTTTTTTACTACTAAAAAAAACTTTATTTTGTGCAGTCTGTAGGCAGTCATATGAAATAATAATCTACTTACCGGTAACATAATGAAATATTCTGTATGAAATGCCAAGTTATATCCAATAAATTTATACAAAATTAATCTAAACATATTTTTTGATATAGTTTTTAGTATGAAATATGTAATTAAAAATAATGTAATCTATTTACTTAGGTCAAAATGATTACTTTTAAATAATAAAAATTCAAAAAAAAAATTGTTGAAAAAAGGTCCTATATTTCAATTTTGAGAAAACTTAAAGAACTTTCATATTCTAATGGATTTTAACTTTTATATAAACCAACTACAACACACACAACTTACAACACACACACACACGCACAATTATATATACATACATATATATATATATATATATATATATATATATATATATATATATATATATATATATATATATATATATATATATATATATATATATATATATATATATATATATATATATATATATATATATATATATATATATATATATATATATATATATATATATATATATATATATATATATATACATATATATATATATATATATATATATATATATATATATATATATATATATATATATATATATATATATATATATATACATAATATATGTATGCATACACACACACACACACATATACACACACACACACAAACACACACACACACACACACACACACACACACACACACACACACACACACACACTTACATATGCAAAAAGAAGTTTAATTATGATTTTTAATTATTGTTTGTTTTTCTGCGGTTTACTTGGCTGCATTGAAATGGCTTTCGTAAGGTTCGTAAAGCTTTTTTTTCAAAGTATTTTAAAACCGGAAGCGTCAGTTCCGGTTTTTACTTTTTTTTTTTTTTTAACACTGATCTTAAAATATATCCTCCTATATGCCCTAAAATTCAGTTTATGTTCCAATGGAACCTAAACGTACTATTAAATTCTTTTTAGGAAGGATCCAACCCTTTAGTGTGCGTCATTCTGAAACATAGGAACCAACCCATTCATTTGAAATTCATTATTGATATGCAAACTATTTTGTCGTTTTTCTGAAAACTAACTTTTCTAACGTTTGTTCCCCTGTGTTTAACACCATCTGAATGTACTTTATATGTAAATATATTTTGAGGTCAGTGTTTTAGTAAAAAAATATGCGCACGCTTAGAAACCAAGGCAATTTTGTAAAAAACATGGATAATTTTCTCAAACTTTATTTAACTTTGCGCAAAAAGTGCAAATGAATTGAGTATAACAATGATGAATAGTGTTATAGAATAACTAATGAAACATAATACTTAAGTTATTTATAAACCTGTTTTTATACACATTTTCAAAATTATTTATGTAGTCTTTGTAAATAAAGATCGTGTGATGAATCAAAATATGGAAGCCAACCAGAATTAATATACTTTTGGAAAGAGTGGTTCTTCTTAATTATCTTAATAAAAACATTTTTAAATACCTATAGCTCACAATACAACATAACTATATATTATAGGAAATAAATAAAACATACATTTTACTAAAGTTGTATTCAAAGAAACTTTGCTATTTCTTTTTTTTTTTTTCCCTTTGAAATTAAAATTTAAACTACGTCTGCTCTTGCGATAATTTTGTTCTTTCCCTTTCCCAAAGAAAAATAGACAAATGGAAACTCAATTTAATACCAAAGAGACTTGACGTTACTTTGATAATTAGGTTGATAATTAAACCTACTGGTTGGAGAACTCTCGCATTCATTATACTTCCATGTTTACACTTAATATGTTAAAAGTTAAATTTGAAAAAAATAATTTGCGTAACACCTGATTAATGTTTATTTCCTAGATAATAAAGCATAGATAAACAAGCAATAAAATATAATTTAAAAAAAAATGTATAGATATCAGTTAAAACTTTTCTTTTTGAACAAACACTTTTTAGCTCTTAATTTTATTGCAAAGTTTTAACTTTTCCTCTGCTTCTCTTTAAATTCTCATTAACCCTGCTTCTGCTTCTCTATACATTCTTATAACCCTGCTTTCAATTTTTTGAAAGTGACTCAGAAAATTAAAAACTTGGCTGAGAGTCTACGGAAAATAAACCTAAATAATGTGTTAATATTATTCAGGTAAATATGTTGATACGAATTAATATCGTTACATTAAGGTATTTACTAGAAAAAAGTCCTTTTTTTCTCAAAAAAAAAAAAAAAAAAATTTGTCTTAAAAAAAGTGAAAATAAAAAAAAAAAAAATTTTTATTTTTACCCTGCCAATTTGTGTGTACTTTAAGATTTCAAAAAATTGAAATTTGGCTTAGTTTAAAACGTCGCTTTATTCACGTGTTTAGATTTACTCCAAAGAAAATGCGAATCGAAATATCAATGAACTAACAATCTTTTTAATAGAGCTTTTAAAAACTTAAAATTAAATAATAAATAAATTTAAAAATGGTTGTATAACTGTATTTTATGTATACTTCAGATTTCTATTAACAATCTCTTTAATTATCACTAGAAATAATTCTATAGTGAATGATTTATTGAACCATACTTTAATGGAGATTTTTTTTCCAAACACACGACTTTTTAATCTGTTTTTTGTATTAATAAAAGTGTTTTATCTTGTTTTGCTGACCCCGGTATTACAAAACTATTTGGATACAAGAAAGGGAACAAAATGAGCTGTTAACGTGTTGCAAGGAAGAAATTCCAGACAATATAACTTAAAAATCAAAAGTCTAAGTACTTTTCTGTTATTATTTATGAAACATCAGACAGTTTAAATTTCTTTATTTATTAGGTTTGTTAACTCTTATTAAGATAAAAGGAAAATTCTAGATTTCACATTTTACAAATAGTGTTACTAGAAACAAAGAAAAATTAGAAACGGCTTTTAGTAAAACAATAAATAAACTCTCGGCAGTACTGGTGAGGAAAAAAGTTCTATAAAATTTTCTATAAAATTTTCTATAAAACTTTTGAAACATATGGTCTATAGAAACTCTATAGAATTTCTATAGAATGTCTATTAATTTCTATAGAAATTGCTATAAAACTTTTTAACTATAAAAAACTTTTTAACTATAAAAAACTTTTTAACTATAAAAAAAAAATTAGAAAAAAAAATTTTATAGAAATTTATATAAATTTTTATAGAAGTTAACAGAAACTCTGTAGAAATTCTATAGAATTCTGTAGAGTTTCTATAGACCATATGTTTCAAAAGTTTATATAAAATTCTATAGAACTTTTTTTCCTGGGTCTAAAAACTCTGCGAAGGAAAACTTGTGATCCTTTTTGTTTTCTTTATTAATTATTTTATATATAATTGAAATATAGGAGTAATGTACAAAGCTAAAAATGCTTTAAATAAACACAGACTAACACAATTATATTTCTTTTTAATCCGTTGCCATATAAGTTATGCAAATATTGTCTGGTGTAATACCAATAAACCTAAACTGTTACCTCTTTATCATCAGCTGAAGCATGTTGCTCGTCTTATCAATAATAAAGATCGATTTGCTAATGCCTAACCATTATTATTTCAAATAAAAATTCTGAATTTTTATCAGCTGAATATTTTTAATATACTTTGTTTTATGTACAAATGTAAAACCAACGCATCTCCTGTTTTTTTTCATAATCTATATACCTTAAAAGATAAAAATAAATATAACTTAAGAAATGATAATCTAATTCGGCAACCTTTTTCTCTAACTAATTTTGGAAAGCCGTGTATTTCATTTCGAGAAGCTTTTCTTTGGAACAAAATAGTTTTGATAGACTTTGATTTTTCCCATGAATGGAATTATCTTTCATTCAAGAAAAAACTAAAAGAAATTATTTTATCTTTTGAACACATATTTTTAAATTCTTCTGAAAACGAATATGAAGCTTATTACATAAGGTAATATATAATAGTATATCTGATCCACATCTTATGTGTTTATGAAAACGTACTTTTTAAAATATTTTTGTATATATATATAAAAGTGAATTTCCTAATACCAATTTTATTTATGAATTCTTACGAAATTTATGTTCTCGCTATTTATTACTAAGACATTACTTTGTTTTTTTATTTTATATTTCATAATAATTTAATGTACTACAATTTAATATTCACGAGCAGCTCTCGATGATAAGACCAGAAGGTCTTCTGCGAGTCTCCGCGTTCTTTCTTTTGTTTTTATCTTTATACCTGTATATTTTTTTATATATATTTTTTTTATTGTATAACGATTTTTATCTTAACTATCTTATTGTAAAAATTTGTTGAATAATTAAGAAAAGAACAAAAAAAAAATTTGAAAAAGAAATTAAAAAAAATTAAACTTAGCGATGCGTAATTTATGTACGACCACGGCGATCTATAAGTAACTTAAAGAGCGCCATGTGTACGACCTTTTTTCTTAACCATTTTGATCATTAATCATGATTTTCTTAAATGTTGATCAATGATTTTGATTTTCTTAAATCTTGAACTTGATTTTATTAAATTTCAATTTGTGGAAAATCAAAGCCAGCGTTTAAGACGTCACAAACGTGTAGGGGAGATGGGGGCGCATTGATCGCTGTAGCAGTATTTTAAAATGCGAACAACCCGATGTAAAAACTTATTATTTACTAAACTAAACTAGAACAAACTGTCTTTAAGTAAAAATAAATGTTTTAATCAAAAAAATTGATGAACATGATATATTTCAACATTACAACAACCCTTGCAAAAGATCAATGTACCCCACGCAGTGGGGTACTATGATTTTACTATGACTTAAAGCGCCTGGAACTTATATAAGTAACATTATTTACATGTTTACTACTGCTCTACCTAAGTGCTATAAATGCACACTATTTGGCACAATCTAATGATGAAGATATTTCAGAAATAAAAAAGTACGTCGAAAATGAAGAAATTAAAATTTTATCTTTAATTAACTCAGAAGATATAAAAGTAAAAAAACTATTGCGTTTGAAATCTAAAAAAGAAGGTAAACCAGCACCTATTATTCTAGAATTAGAAAGCAAATCTGTCAAAAATATGATGTTGAAAAATGCATATCATAATAAAAATAAACTCAACAATATTCATTTTAATGTCGACATGGTAGATTCCAA